TCTCTGCTAGCTGGCTGCCAGCTTGCATTTCCATAGGCTCAGACGCAGCACCTGTAGCACACTACATCTCAACCACAGTTGTGCATTTTAAACACTACTAGATAAATATAAGTACCATGGCAAATGTATAGAGACAATTTTATGAGAAGGCTTATTTGCTTGCTGTCCTGTCCAGTGAAGGCCAACAAATACTGTGTCCTGAAGGGCTGAGTGAAGTAGTCTGTAGCAAAATTTACAGCGCTCTCAACAAAGGGGAGTTTCCACTTTAAAGTATAGTGATGCAACACGACATTGAGAATAACAGATAATGGGGAGTTACACGCCATGGGAGCTTTCACCTGAGTCAGATTTTGCTTCTTTTGAGTACTCCAGTGAGGTGCTGAGTACGGGGACGTGGGCAGTACCAGATGTGGCATGGACACAGCTGGCAGGGGTCTCCTGGCACTCAGGCTGCCAGGAAGAGCTGTGGAAAGACCAACTTGCATTTGGCTTACGATGTACTCAGCTTCCACTAAGAACCTGGTATTTATGGGTAGTATTGCATCCCACTTCAAACCTAGCCACCGTGCTGTTTGTCAGTGGTTGCATCCTAGTGAGCAGGAGAAGAAGGGGGAGAAGCTGCAATCAACCTCTCAGCAAAATGTGGAAAGTATCTTGCAGGCTCGGAGGCTTAATGTGGAAGGAACCATGATCTCCAAATTTCTGTGGACACAACATAACTAACCTTGATCAAGTGTGTGACATCTCAGCTGTTTTCATGCCATTTACTGAAATGGGAGAGGAGCTGGGAGGATCTCTTGTCTTTTAAATTAGAAAAACCCCAAATTAACAATTGGAAACGTTTTCTTCAGACTGTGTCAGTGGCACTCAGAAGTAACTGAATATCCATTTCTTGTTGCTTAGATGATCACTAATCCAAGTCCTAGTTGCATTCTTTTCGTAAATGTTAAGCAAGAGGGCATCATAAAACTGAGATCTTGCTTTGCCAGCAGAATATTTATATGAAGGTTTTCAGTTTCTGGCCATAAATAAGATATAGGAAACAGGAGATTTTGATTAAAACCTCGTGAAAGTAATTTAGACTTTTGGACTGTCTGATTGAAAAGGATAATGTGAGGAGATAAATTTTTGTGTTGGATCAATTTAAGCACTTCTTTCACTGCCAGAATCTTGGGACACGAATCTGGTTTCGGTTCCATCAGCTTTACCTTAGTGTTATCCTGTTGACTTGCCTGGCATCGTTTCCGGTTTACATTATTGTAAGTGAGCTCAAGAATCACTTTCTTTGTCTTCAGGAAACAGAATAGCCATTAAGGGAAACAGAGGACTGTACTTATTTAAGTATACAAGAAACATAACAGGCTTCTGCAGGTGTTTCTGAAGAGTTAGCAGAATATTCTTTGTCACGCGCTCAGATGTAATGGTCTTAATCATGGCGTATGGCTCTCCTGCTGCCACAGGACATTTAATATGTTGGAAAAGGTGTCTCTGTTCCCCTGTAAAAGCTGAATTTGCTTTTACAGCCATTACCCATCATGCAGCAGGAGAACAGTTTTAATAACCATTGCTTCAGGGCTGCAGAAATCTTTTGCATCTCTCCAGGAAAGAGGCAACTTTCTCTTCTGTAACTGGCCAAAGCGTTACCTTTGGAAGCTTTCCCTCTTGGGATCCAAATGCTCTCTTTCACTCATAACTTGTGCTACCTAATTGTTCTCCAGGGGAGCAAAAGTAGGTTGGCGAGGTTGGGTTTTGGCTTCTAATTGTTCCTGGCTTTGTTTGAAGGCTACAGGTATGCACAGGAGTGAGGCAGGGAAAATGGCAGTCATGGTTATTTACTGGGAGCAGTGGGAACTATGAAGTCTCAAGGAAAATCTCAGGAAGGATCATACAAATGCTTCCTAGTACTGTACACAGAGCTGGAAAGTGTTGGACATGCTCTTCCATTACATGTGGTGCAACTGCTCTGCCCTGAACACCATAAAGGGCTTCGTAAAGGCACCAAACGTTTTGCAGGGCCTACAAAACCTTTGGAAATGATGAGCCTGTGGAAAAAAAGTGGGGTTTTGTTATAGAAAATGAAGTGCTCTAATAAAGCGTTTGCACTTTATTCCATGTAAGGGACTAAAGGCCCTAGTCCATGTAGAGGAGCTCAGTGTATTTATGTTTTTACCTACCTTGATATTGTTAGCTTGCTCTCGGTTTGTTCAAAGGAAGCAGAGATTCAAAGGTCAGCTATGAGTGGTTTGGAAAAACCAAGTGGTGACTGTATCTCCCATGAACTGGGAGAAAGGAATCACAGTTCGTGCCATTTTTAAATACTTCCCATATCGTTTTACCATTTCTTTTACTCATTCTTCTCCCTTTTCCCTTAAAGAATTTGTTTTCTTCTTTAGGAAAAAAGTTAGCTTATGCTTATAAGTTTTTTTTTTTAAATGTACTTTGATCTCAGACAACATTTGATGGAATTATTACTGATAATGCAGCCTGAGCATGATCTTCAACACATAAAGCAACTTATCTCCCATCGGGAAATGAATTCCCAGTGAGAAATGAAGTTGCCTGGCATGACTAAGAATCAGGTCACTTGGTCTAAATGACTAATTATGGGGTTTAGAACTTAGCTTTTGGATCCAAATTCTGGCCTATAAATGTAGAACAAGTTCTAGATTTAATTAGTCATAACATCAATTAGAGTATTAATTCTACTCATGCAACTCTATTCACATCAGAAGACACTCCTGATTCACAGCAGTACAAAGACTCTGGAGTTCAGTGGTGTTTCTGTACCCTGTGTCAGATGTTGAAGATGACAAGGGCTCCGAGCAGTGGACTCACACAGCCACATTCAAGCTTTGGGCTGCCAATGAGCTTGTCCACACAACCCACTAGAAAGTATAGGTATTAATTCAGATGGTTCCCAGCCTAAATCAATTGACATATTGCTAATCATTAGGCTTTAGTTCCAATCCGAATAGTCCTTTAAAAGCCTTTTTTTTATCTGTTTCTTCTTTTTTCCCCAGTTGTTCCCATGCAGCAGCTATAGCACTGTAAACAGGATTTTTTTCCCTAGTTATTTCACTGCTTCGCTCTTGCCTCTACTTACTGTCTGGAACTAAAACTGAGACTTAGTAATGGGCATCTGCAGTTAGGAATTTCTGTAAGTTGTCTAAATTACTGGGACAGTTCCTGTCCACCCCAGTGGCCAAACAAGCTCAGACTCTTCATCTTCTAGAGGAGGGCGCACAGGGATAGGACAAGGGGAATGACTTTAACCTTCCAGAGGGGAGATTTAGATTAGGTGCAAGAAAGAAGTTCTTCCCTGTGAGGTGCTGATGCACTAACACAGATTGCCAAAGAAGCTGTGGCTGCCCCATCCTTGGCAGTGTTCAAGGCCAGGTTGGATGGGGCATGGAGCAATCTGCTCTAGTAGAACATGTCCCTGCCCGTGGCAGGGGATTTGAACTGGATGGTCTTTCAGGCGCCTTCCAACACAAACCATGATGATTCTGTGATTCTATGATAATGTCTGAGCTTATCTACCTCTAAAGAAACTGAAACTTCTTACTTATTAGCAATATATTCTGTCTGCAATTAAAAGTGGATGGCTTGCTGTCTTTTGCTGAGGAAATAGAGGAATATATGGAGGAAACGACAATATATTTCAGCAAGGCCAAAGGTACCCAGCATGTTCTGCAAATCGTCTGTGGAGGTTGAACAGTGAGGCTGCATTACACAGCATGCACAGAGAGTTCTGTAAACCATGGAACAAACTTACTTTTCCATGTCACAATCAGGATCACATTCACATTTCAAGGAAACAATAGAAGACTTAATTCAGCTTTCACTATGCTGGAGATTTTCTCTGGCTCTGCCTCTGCCCCTTTCTCTCTCCTCATTCCCAGTGTTCTTGAACACTGCCTGCAGTGCATTTTAATGTTTGCCAAGATATCCCTAGCTAAGGGTGAGTTAATAAGAACATCTGGCCAGGATGATGCTCTGTCACCCACCCCCTCAGCACATCTGGTGGTCATGGCCATGGATGGAGAACCTTACTGAGCATAAGGCTTCTGCAAGGAAAGAGGATTTTGTCAGCTAAGGCTGGATTTATTAAAATACCCCAAACCAATTGGTTATATAAAGGGGCTTTCATGTCAATAGGAGAAATGCCTATAAATAAGTACACACACACATATACACTTTTTTATATAAGCAGAGTATACTGTCAATGAATAAGAATGTGGACTGCCTAAAAACTGTCTTGATAGGTAATTAGTCCCAAAGGCCCTAAACAAGTTAACCATCAAGGCGTGCTGCAAAAGAACTCTCTTTGGTAAGGGCTTTTTGAGGAGGCTGAATGTCCATTCTCTCTAAAGGGAAGAGAGGATGAAAAGGGTTTATGTGCCTGGTTGGCAGAGTTCCTTTTTGAAATGATTACTTTAAAACTTCTGGATCATTTTTTGTCCTTCTAATAATGAATTAAGGTGTCCAGACACTTTTGTGGGCATCTTCCTGTATTATTTATATAGCAATCCATCAGTACCAATGCCCTGCTCTTGTTTTCCTTTGCTGGTTAAAAAAAAAAGATGGATTTTTCAGACAGCACAATGAATCATCAGTGAAGAGAAAACACTGGGCAAAATCTCTTGTTTAAGAATGGCCTGTGCAAAGCTCAGGCCAGCACATTTTTCATGGGATGCAAGGGAGCAGTTCAAAGAATTGGCAAGGAGTGTGCCCTGCATATTCATGAGGCTGGGCAAGGAGGTGAAGGTACAGGAGAAGGCAGAAAAGCGATGTGAGGATAGAGTGGAATGTGGAGCGAGTTACCACGGTATCCGATTTTACTGCTGTTTGACGTAAAGCTCCTTTGCTTTTACACAACCGCTGGAATTGAATGGAAGCAGTTCAGGGCATAAATAATGAATGTGTCTTTTACATGTTAAGAGAGGAGAATCTGCACCTCATCACAGAGATAACGCACCCCTCTCTTCTCCCCCCCCTAGTCTCCAGCCTGCGTTCCTGAAGTCAGTCAAGATCTTATCCAACAGACAGAGGAGAAACTCGAAAACAGCCCCTGCAAAGAGCTATTCTCTCACTGTACAAAGTAAGTATAACTCGATACCCAGAGATCTCAGAGCCACAGCCAGCAGTGTGTAAGGAATGTGTCAGGTAAAAGAGAGACATTTCCACTTGAACCTGAAGCAAGTATCTTCATCTTATGTTCATAATCCTAGAGGCAGAGCTGACAAGCGGTGAAGTCATTTCATCTGAGCAAAATGCTATAAATATTTCCATGCCATTATATACACTACACACAGGCACTTAGTGTTTCAGGTATTTGACGGAGTGTTCTAGCCAAGTAAACCAGCCGTGGATTTCATGCTGTGTGAAAAGAGCTACAATGATAATGCATCCAAAGAAAACATCTCTGTTTCAAAGTGAATAAAAATTAAGTGGCTATACAGCCCATTTAGACAGAGGAATGTGCAAACTTGCTCCGCATGGCTTTTCCAGCAAATCTTCACCAGGAGAATGGGGCTTTTTTGAATGCTTTCTGTCTGCCTGTGGCGTTCAAAACGAGCGTGCATTATTTCATCCTTTGTCTGGGAAAAGGCTTATCAGGTTTTGTAGCGGCGAGGCGATTTGCGCTGTTATGCGCTAAAGCTCCAGGTATGCACTTTGCATTTGCGAACATTGACCCGAGGCTGTTCACGCCAGTAGATCATAAACGAGTGAAAATATGAAAAGGAGGGATCATCGCACGCTGGCCCGTGTGGTTTCTGGCTGAGCACCGTTTGTTTTCCCTGGATGATGTAATGGGGATTTGTAAAATTCGCTCCACTGTCATTCATTGTTTTGACTCATTTCATTGACCTTTTCGGGTTCCAGTTATGCTTTGCGTTGGTAGATGTGGGTTATTTCTGGCCTTCTCTTCTAACACAGCCAGTTTCCTTGCCTTGGCCTGGTGTCGTGTAGAGATGCTCCTGTAACTCGCACCAGTTGTGTGTGCCAGTCCCAGTGACAAAGGCAGAGCTGTGCTCAACACAAACCCCCCTGATGCCTGTTTCCAGTTCTCAAATCGGTTTGAAAGCTGACAGTTCCCTCTAAAATGCACTTTGTTGTTGCCAAAGAGGGGAACTAAAAAGCAAACAACTGCTGAAAGGCAGCTATTGTTCTGTGAAATGCGCACAGCTTTTAATTAACTGAATGGAATAGGCTAGCATTGGACACCACTTAATTCAGGCTCGTATTCACCAACAGCCATTCCTTCCTCTCAGCTCAAGCAGATAAATGAGCCAGGTTTGAGACCTTGTTAATAAATATGCTGGGCATTTCACATGGACTGAAACGGGGTCAAAAGGAAGCTTTAAAAACTTGCTGTTGGTATTTACTAAATGCACTGAATAATGTTAATTTTGGAAGAGTTCACAGACCAAGAAAGGGAGGCATACATACAAATATGAAGCTTGCTATCCTGTAGGAGCAGGAATGGGGAAGAGTTTCAGACACATCTTCATAGATAAGATCAGTCTGCTGGAGGTATGCATGTATAAGCTCTAATTTCTGCTTTGACCTTTAATATTTTGGCTGCCTGCTCCTGCCCCTCTCCAATTTCCCATGTTCATCTTATTCATGGCAAATTGTTTGAGGAGGTCTAGAACTACCCCAGGGTAAGACATAGATCATCCATTCCCAAACCAGACTGGTCCTTCAGAGAGGATTTCAAACCTCCTCCAGTAAAATCTGGAGCAGTGTCTGTATAGCCTTAGATACAGAGAGAAAAGTGTCTGTATACCCAAAGACAGACATACACCCAGACCCAAGTTTAGTCCCCACCAATGCTGCCAGCAGAGGTGGAAGCAGTAGCCCCAGTAAGCAAGGCAAGAACCCAAACCAGCAGGTGAACAACCCCTTCTTAATCGATGTGACCACCTTCATCTCAGGCAGCTCTCTCAGCTCAACCCATCTTTTCTTAGCTCTGAACCCTTGGCCTTTCTTATGGGATGTCTGTTGATCTCTGGCTGCTTGTTGACTGTCACAAGCAACATACTTCTTTCTCGCATTTGCAGGCTGATCTTTCTATTCCTTCCTTCTTTTGATTATGCAAAAGACTTTGCATCCACTACATGAGCCCAAGAATTCTTTTCTTGATCCAGAAGCAAATCCACATCCCTGTTCAGACTTTCCTCTGTTTTACTCTACAAAGCACACAGCTGTTAGGCAAAGCCCCTTGATTTTAATGACAGTTACTACTTCTTCTGTATAGAAGGAATTGGCATTGATTATTTTTTGCTCAAAATAATACCTCTATGGTCATTCTTTGACAGAAATGGGCTTTAGACAGAAATCTTCGATCCAGGTACGAACATCCCCTAAAGTTTAGGAGCTCAGTTCCTGAGGGTGTTGTGTTCAGTTACTAACAAAAGCAAATAAATTTGTTGTCTAGTGAGTAACAGTCTTTGTGAACGTCCGTTGAAGCCAGTGGGAGATGCCCTGTTAATTTTCAGCAAGCATAACCAGTACATATTACTATTCAGCTTGTATAAGACCTTCTGTTCTGAAATACGTCTAACATATCACTTTGTTCCTAGATTGAAGCCATGGGTAAAATAAAGTACAAAATAAAAGAGAATGATCACACCATACAAGAAGTCTGGATTTTCTCCTCTTGTTTTGTTTCTCTTTTGCTCCAAGTTCAGGATTATAAAATGCTTATATATCCTTTTCATCTGAGATAGATCTGTCCTTGACCACCTCAGTGGGGAACCATTCCAAGAGTACCTGAACAGCATGTACTTCGACAGGTTTCTCCAGTGGAAGTGGTTGGAAAGGTAGGTGTCACAAGTTGTTTGGTTTTTTTTTTGTCCTATAAAAAATGAATACAAAAGGTTTGTTTTCACTTTCCATGCAAAGCACATAGAAAATCTGACAGCTGAGATAGTATGTTTGCTCCCTTTGCCTTCAAGGTAAAGACAGTTTGGCCTTTCTTCAGCGTTGCCAATGCCTCATCCTAATGTTTGCCATTTATGGCCCTCTTTTGAAGCAATTCTCTCCCTCTTTTCACTGTTCTCTGTCAGGATGGTCTGTCAAGACTCATTCACCATTTCCCTGAGCTATACTCCAGGGAAGCTTTCCCAGAGAGTTCCAGGAAGGCTTTCCTAATTTTAGCATTTGGTTTTAAGTGTTCATTGTTAGAAGGTTCAAGAAGAGATAATGGCTTTAGCCACAGGAAGATGTCATATAAGAAAGTCATGGTTATGTTGGTGTTAGACTCAATTTAACCATGAGCTGAGTCTCCAGCTGTGACCATCCAATGAGCATGATCGGTGCCAGGGATATGAGTGTGCCTAGACCCAGAAATGCTCTTCAGCCTCTCCCTTCTCTCTTTAAGGAAGCCTGTGATCTGAGAAATGGCTGTGGCCAATTTCTCTGTAGGTCCTGTCACCATGAGCTACTTATGGCGCAGATTGAAGGACACATTACACGTTTTTTATAACCTATCCCTTGTGCATCTGTAATGCTAAACTTAAGATACACATCCAGTCTCTGGCTTTTGCATTTGCAAACACTGTGCCCAGGCAAGACTAAAACAGATGCTGCTCACTAGGGAAGCAAAGAACAAGCCAGAAACCTACCCCAAAACTCAAGGGGGGCAGTTTTGGCTTCTAAAGCTCAAGTGTTTACCCATTTTAATGCTATCAGCTACATTAGGCACAGCAAGATTAAAGTACATTCAGCAACTTCAGTTGGCTTTCTGTTTAGCTGTGCTCTGAATATGGTGACTTATTTGCTTGGACTACTTATCATTATTATTAAATCACTGTAAACAGACAAAAATGCATCATATAGGTCCTCACACCGTATTTATTGGCTAGACATTTCTGAGCACATTTAATAACCAGGCAGCCTTAGTGGGTGTTAATTTGCAAGGAAAGGGGCCTTTGCCTGCTCCTTGTTGGGAGGGCTGTAGCAGACATGCACTGCTGGGTAGCAGTGACCTTGGGTTGAGAGAAGCCCCAGGTTCCACAAATGGAATTAATTATGGCAGATGAGTTAGGGCCAGATCCGTGAGTGGTGTGTATCAGCGTGGTGCCTCGGAGATCAAAGGAGCTGTGCCAGTTCCTCTCCCTGGAAAGCTGCAAAGCTGCTGCACAAGAGGGAAAGGGAAGCGGTGGGCAGAGGGGAGAGCCGTTTCATGCCAAGACGTGCTCCACATGCCATCTTTACTGAATCCAGCATTCACTCTCCCATTTCAATTACAAAAACATCAGATGATTCATCCCTAGCCAGGCTATTTCCTATCTACTTTCACATTTGGGATAAGGAATTTTCTGAAATGCTTTGAGGATTATTACTTTTTCCATTCCCCCAACAAGTGTGACAAGCTATCGGATATGCCTGGCTTAAGAAGCTGGGAGAACTGTTTCTAGGATTAGCAAAGAGCTGTTAGTAGCTCCTTCTGACAGCCTGCTGGCTCCAATGGAGGAGTCATACAGTCCATTTATTCCAGAGACATTGCTGAGCATGTAGTTATCACTGCTAATTGTTGCTTTTAACCCCAACAGCATTTGCAGGATCCTCACAGAAGCCTGAAAATAGCATCTCTCTCTCTTCTAGTTTTGGCCTTCTGCGTGTTTTTCTCCCCCTACTTTTAAAAACAATAATGAGCATAAATGAAACGATTCACTTTAGCATTTATTCCTTATTGTCATCAAACTCATCACCGCTGTTATGGGAACAGCCACATTATTGTGCTCCCTCTGCCGGCTGGCTGCCCGCCAGAGGGAACCAGCGCTGGTAGGGATATCCGTATCAACCACTAACGTAATTGTAAGGCTTCAGTGGTGGAATGGTGGGGTTCTTCTTCTGTCACATTATAAAGCTTTTATGGTAACAAAGCGTAAGTTAGATGTAGGGCTGGAGCCATTTTGGTAAGGCAGGATTTTGTGGGAACCTTGTTAGGTTGTATAGTTCACATCCAATGAATGTTAGGGAGCCCTCTGCCCTCAGAAGAAAAGACTTATTTAACCCTTATTTTGTCCCTTTAAAGGAAAGAGATGCTTTTCCTCCCTTCTCACCCATGGTGCTCTACCAGGAGGCAGGTATCCCAGGCAGGGAAGGACTGGCTTGGAGCTTGGCTTCCTGCTCTCCCCTCCTGCGAATGGCACCTAAGCCCACCTCTCTGGTCCCTGGGATTGTTGCTTTCCTTGTTTCACATAATTTTCCTGTTTTCTTTAAGGTCAAGACATCAGAAATCTTTTCTGGTGGATTGAATTCTGGATCTCTTTTTCTCCATCCCTAGAAGTGTTCAAGGCCAGGTCAGATGGGGCTTGGAGCAACCTGCTCTAGTAGAAGGTGCCCCTGGCCATGGCAGGGGGTTGGAACTGGATGAGCTTTAAGGTCCCTTCAAACCCAAACCATTCTAAGGTTCTATGACCTTGAAGACCAAGCGAAGTCATAAAGTGTTAGCCCGTCCTATGCCTCATGAGAATTAATATGTTATTGGAAGCTCCCAGGTCTCCTCTTTGCTTAACAAAGGCCAAACCTATATCATGGAGATACAGAACCCTCCTTAGTCCTAAGATGCTTGCAGAAATTATACTGATGACTCACTAATGTGTTGTATTTTATTACAGCTTAATATGTTCGAATTGAAAAGTTCAAGCCATACATAGCATTGAACTAATGGAATTACATAATTATATATTATATTCTATAATAGGATTACCCTGAAACAATATGATTATCTAATATTTGTGTCTTTTGCTTTTTCAAAGTATGCTCTGAAATAAATCACGGAGAGTGCATTAAATGTGTTGTCTTCTTTTTTTTCTGTATTTCCTTTTCTTCCAGGCAACCAGTAACAAAAAACACATTCCGGCAGTACAGGGTACTGGGGAAAGGTGGCTTTGGGGAGGTGAGTAGGTCTGAAAGCTTCTCCTAAAGAGCGTTTCTTACTTCTCAGGCACTGCAGGCCACAGCAGCCTGATGCGACAGAGGCTGATTTTCATTGAGTGCCGACAGCTTTGCTTAACCTCTCATGACAAGAGGCAGTGGGTTCAGACTGAAACAGGGGAAGTTTAGATTGGATATAAGGAAGAAGTTCTTTACTGTGAGGGTGGTGAGGCACTGGAACAGGTTGCCCAAAGAACCGGTAAATGCCCCATCCCTGGTAATGTTCAAGGCCAGGTTGGACAGAGCCTTGGGTGACATGGTTTAGTGTGAGGTGTCCCTGCCCATGGCAGGGGTTGGAACTGGGTGATCTTAAGGTCCTTTCCAGCCCAAACCATTCCATGATTCTATGACACTGTCATCCCAAAAGAACGCTTTTGAGAATTATTCCCTATTCGACTAACAGTGGAATGAGGGGCACACCCTTATTTGTGTTCTAACTGATGGCTGGGCAGCAAGAGTCAGAGGAGGGGTGGACAGGCTTTAGCTGAGCAGATTACAGTCTGCGCAGACAAAAGGAGGTGGGATAGGAAGCAGGCGGAGGAAAGTGGAATAATGAAACCAATATTACACAGCAGGTTTGGAAACAGTAGTCGGTTCCCCAGCTGCCCCCGCCTGTGCCTTATTTGCTGTGCCGCTGTCTCTAACCTTAAAAGGACTCGCTGGGATCAGCTCATGAGGAGTAAAGTGCAACCCAGATGCAGCGTTTGCTTCGAATTACCCAGCAATTGTTCTCTTTAATTCGCAGGTCTGCGCTTGCCAAGTGCGAGCGACAGGGAAGATGTACGCCTGCAAGAGGTTAGAGAAGAAGAGAATAAAGAAGAGGAAAGGCGAATCCATGGCACTAAATGAAAAGCAGATTTTGGAAAAAGTCAATAGTCAGTTTGTAGTGAGTATTGAACTCCCCGGTGCTCAGCTCCCTGCTCACCTGCTGAGCGCTGCTCTTGTTGAACCCAAGGCCTCCTCCAACTCCTCCAACAGGAAGCTGATTCCCTTTGCTTTGCACCTTCGTCCTCCTCCATGCACCTTTGCCAAGTCTCATTTTAGTCTCTGGTCCGTACGAAACGCACCAACCAAGGTGCCTGTTCCTGCCATGGGAATGATGCATTTCATAGCCTTGACTTGCATCAGGGCTGCATCAGCTGAGCTATTTTTATCCAGTGTGATTACCTGAATTCCCAGCGTCTGCGAGAGAGGAGCTTGGAGGAGACTGAAGGATATGCAAACCAAATAGATGAGAAGAGATTGGCTAGTAACCAGTGACGTGGAGCTGGTCTGTCTGATGTAGGGCTTTCCTGACTCATGCCAGCTCTTGTGTCTCTTTAAAAACTTGCCTTAGATTAAAAAGAGAGGTGTTGTTCTCTCAGCATCTGTCGTGTTCTTTATGCTTATTTTAGGAAACACTGTGAAAACAACAGATGTGAGATGTTTATTTACCTCTGGCAGAAGCAAAGATGATGGCACGTACTTAACCATGATGGGTAGCTTTTGGCTTGTCTGGTCGTTCCTGGGGCACCTACCAGAGCAGGAGTGCCTCAGTGATGGTCCATTTGACCACCACAGGACCAGGCTATCAGGGCCTTCCTGGGAACCTACTGAGATGATAGTTTTTGGACAGCTACCCAGCGAAACAGTGCAGCAGGAGGTGTAGATTCCCTTGGTTTTTAATATCTCTCTTACATGGAAAAGTATGCCTGGAATTAGTATGTTTGTCCAGCTTGTGAAGCTATCTGAGCATTAGCCATGGGGGTTTCTGATGATGAATAGGCTGGATTCAATGAATTAATCTATAAAATCCCAACATCTGATTTTTCTGTCCTTCCAAAATGTATGTTTGCTATTGCTGTAAGCCCCAGTTCAAATTCAGTTTCTTTTTTTTCCCCTTTCCTGGAGGATATCTTTAATGAGAAGTTAGTGCTTTCTTCTCAGCAGCTAAATGAACTGTCACAACTATGATACGAATGTTTTTCTAGGTCAATTTAGCCTATGCCTATGAAACAAAGGATGCATTGTGTTTAGTTCTGACCATAATGAATGGAGGTGACCTGAAGTTTCATATCTACAACATGGGAAACCCAGGCTTTGAGGAGGAAAGAGCTTTGTTTTATGCAGCAGAGATTCTTTGTGGCTTAGAAGACCTACACAGAGAAAATACTGTGTACAGGTAAGCACTCTTTAAAGTCTTATGGAATATCTTTTATGGGTAAAAAAAGAACTGCTTGCATCTTCCCTACTCATTGTGGTGCTATAAAGCTTAGACGCCTCAGTGCTGGGGCGAAATTTCACAGGGTACAAATTCAGTATGATTCAGTAATCATGGAAGGAAGCAGTTGCTTCAGTAATGCATCCTGTCTAAATTGCAGAGCTAACACAAAGCTCCCCAAACCCTACCTCGGTGTGCACTGAATGACATTAAGAAAATCATGAGCGTTCCTATAAAGGGATTTCATTGAGGTTTCTAGTTTGTAGTTGACATGAAATGGAGATCGTGCTATTGAAGCCTCTATTTTAATTAGCTGGATTTTATTGCACATCAGATGTGGAAAAGCCATGTCCTACCCCAGAGGGAGCACAATTAGCACAAGAGGGGGTTTGAGACACAGGGCAGGGATTCACGCTCTAGGACATGAACAAGCTTGATTAGCTGGATCATGATGGTGACCATGGCATGCCAGCTGTGGAAGGAGGCACACTTACAGCCATTCAATGGAGATGTCCTGCTGGCAGCATCCCACCCGCTGCGGGAGCAGCCAGCGGGCAGAGCACTGCCCGGAGCGGTGACAGCTTCGAGAAGGACAAATGTCAACTTCTCAGCTTCCAGTCTGGCTTCCAGCTCTATACAAGCCTTTTTCCAGGGCATCACATGGTTTACTTGCTGGAAAAGCAGGGTGGTTGCAGACAGAGTTCTTGTGACTCCATGAGGATTTATTTTTTCCTAATCAAAGACCAGTGGAGTTGTAAACAACACTGAATGTTTGCCTTCATCATCCCAGCTTGTGAAATCATTACTGCTGGCATTCACAGCAGAAGAGGTCCTGTAGATTGATGAAAGAACTTCCAAGGACAATGATTAACAATGAGATGTTATTTTCAAGAACCAAGCCGCACTTTAAATCATTCGATATGCCCATGTGTAATAAGCATTATGCATATGCTTGTATACATAGGAATTACAATATTGTTGTTCCTTGGAGGAGATCTGTAGCAAACTGGTACTTGGTTGCCTCAGTGTGACTCAGATCTTGCTAGCTGGCATAAGGAGAGCAGACAGATAACATGCTGATTGTGTTGGTGCTGGCCCAAGAAGGACATATTTTTTTTCCCGAGGAACAAAATGGAATTAAGTGTTTAATGTCAATTGAAAACTCAAATAACGAATGATGTGTCTGGCTTCCCTTTTCTTTAGAAACCATCCTACCACATTCAGAAAAGTTTTAGGAGGCATTATAGTGTTTCTTTAAGAAGTTCTGCATCACAAGCTTGCTTTACTGTTGAAAATGACTGGTACATTCATAACCTGGCTGGTGAAATGCCATACTAACTCTGCTTTCTAATCAAGCAAATCAGATCTGGCCACCTAAAATAGAAGGTGACTCTGAGGGAGTGTCATCCTACTTCCTTAAGCAATTGTTTTCATGTTACTCTTGAAAGAGTTGCTAGTTTACACCTCAGATGCCACATTTGTTTTGGTGATGAATGGTGTTATATCCTTGTAGGTGACATTTTCCAGCAGTATTCTGAGACCCCTAATTCATAATACCGCAGCATGTTTTGGGACCAGTGAGAAGTGCTATATAGGTTAATAAAATATAGCAGCTAAATGTTACCACTTTCTCAAGGTGAATAATTCATTGCAAAACACTTATTCCTCCAACTTAATTTCATTTTCTGTGAACAAAATGCTACTGACTAAATCACAGCATCGGAAAACACATCCCCATCTCACGGGCCGGTGACGCACGCTGCGGATGTGACCCGAGAGAGCAACCAGGCTCAGAGTTAGATTTATCTGATGCAGAGCCCCCTTTGCCAAATGAGGTGCGTTGGTGACATTTCTCAACTGCATCACATTGGTAAAGGTCAATGGGTCGATTGTTCATGGAATGCAAACATAGAAAGCTGATGGTTCTTTTAAAATTATCATTATATATAATTATATATATTATATACAATGATATATGATATATTTTATATCATTGGATGAATATATACATGTATTTTATATCATTATATTAATCTTGTTATGTTATACACAATGTTTATATATAACATGATATATATATTTACATATAAATTATATATGCACATATGTACTATAGCTGTGCCTGGAAGCTTGAGTCAGCATCAAGACCACATTGTCCTGGGCATTACACGAATATACAGTAAAGCCTTGTCCACCTTGATTAATTGAGTTGTTCATGCTGTCCTGTACAGCCAAATAATGTACTATCAGCTTTCTAGCATGGGCACAGTGCTGGCAGTTTGTGTTTCAGTGTATTTAGGCTAGACTAGTTTACATATGGGAAGCTATTTAGGGGGCCTATAGGGATGCTAGGGGGCCTATAGGGATGCTGGGGAGGGACTCTTCATTAGGGACTGTAGTGACAGGACAAAGGGTAATGGGTTAAAACTTAAACAGGGGAAGTTTAGATTGGATATAAGGAAGAAGTTCTTTATTGTCAGGGTGGTGAGGCACTGGAATGGGTTGCCCAGGGAGGTTGTGAATGCTCCATCCCCGGCAGTGTTCAAGACCAGGTTGGATGAGGCCTCGGGTGAGATGATTTAGTGTAAGGTGTGCCTGCCCATGGCAGGGGAGTTGGAACTGGATGATCTTAAGGTCCTTTCCAACCCTAAATATTCTATGATTCTAAGCTGTATCATTGGGAAGTAGCCTTACATGTAACTGTGTCTACCAGGGAATTTTATTTCTCTTGCACATTTCATACAAGAATCACATTCCTCCTTGGCATTTGGAAGTGTTGGCCATGCGAAGGAAGCCAGCCTTGATGCTGAGGAACCAAAAGTCTGAAGACAGAAATGACAACTGATGTCTGGGGGGGAAGGCAAGCCTGCTTTAATTGGCCACAGTTACAGCTTGAAGTGGGACTAATAACTGCTGGAGCAGAAGATGGAGTAACTAATGAAGTCTGAGTTCTTCAAGGAAAGAGTTCTTGAGGGATTTGGAATAAATTCTTACAAATAAATAGGAAATGCCCTCCACTGTGTTGCTCCAGCATTGGAAACCTTCTGATAGGCAGGGAAAGCCACAGCAGTTATGCTAAACTAAATCACAGCATTCGGCTGCCCTTCACATGTTTCAGTATTGTTTATTTGAAAAGTAGGCTTGGTACCAGTGGGCATTCGGTGAAGTTTATCTTGAGAGGTCAAGAGGGTCTGGAGCGAGCAAGAAGAGAAGATTGTTCCCATTCTTTATGTTCTTGCTTGAAATAATAAATAAAAGCGAGGCAAGTTTTGAAATGTCAATCTCAGCATTGTGAAAACTGTAAAACATCCCTCTCCATTCGTGGGGAAATTCCTGACACCGGAGTGGAACAGCTTGAACCTCAAGGCGGGCTCTGTGCAGTGCACGGATCTCCTGGTGCGAGGGTTTCTCTCGTAGAGGCCCCTCTCTTTGCTCTTTGAAAAGAAATGTGTCTTGCTGGGACGCTAACAGAATCAAGCTGGTTCACAAATGCAAGGAGGCCTTAGAAAAAGACGAGGCCAAGCACTTCTTGGATTTGCACCAGGCTAAACGCTGTTTCGGTAGGAGTCGACCAGATAAAAGTCAGGGCATGATGTTGTGAATTGCAGCAATACATTTTTGCCTGCCTCACTCAGCAGTGCTGGTGCCTTTTTCGGGCTCCTGAGCCAGCACAGCTTGCTCCCATCACACGTCCCTTCTTGGATGCTCCATACCCAGCACATCCCTGTCTTCCCTCCAGCACCTCCAGCTCCCATCTCCCAGGCTGGCTTCATTCCTGCTCTGTGTTAAAAGAAGGCTGTGCCTTGTCCCTACTTAGCAGCATGGGGAAGGCGGGCTGCATCTTCCCAGCAGCCAGCAGCATCCAGGAATGGTAGTGCCGGCTCACCTCCATAGGCACAGAAACATACCTTGGTCAAGTGAGGGGACTTGAGCATGGCTGGTCCAGGCAGCATCTAGAAGGAGCAACTGGTGAAGTGGGTTTGGTGCAGACAAACCTTTCAGAAGAATGAAGGTTCTGCCAAGACTCTGCTAAATACATGAAAACTGAGATTTACATTTTTCAGACGTTTATAACTTGGCCAGATTTGGGAATTCATTTTTTCACAGAAGCGATACAAGGCACATCTTTGACATCAGAGTGACCGCCTTGCCAATTTTCATGGTGCTGTTCCAAAGCACGTAGGCCCTGGAGTTTCACTGGAGTTTGTAAGAAGAACCTTAATGTGGGCACAGCGTTCTCTTCTTTGCCTTTCATTTTCCAAACTCGATAAAATTATTACATGTGTGCACAAGTGCATGTACACACATTCACTGATTTGGTTTGAGTCAGATGCCAGGCATAGAAAATTTGAGCCCAAGATATCGCTCTTTCCATTTTCATATGCAAATACAAGATTTTAATATGTTTTTAACAAAAGATTTTATAACAGAAAATGTGACAGAGATTTAACAACACACAGGACTGCATGAGTTGGTTTACAGGGCTTACAGGAATGGATGCATGAGTCCATTATAGAGTGGATTAGGAACTAAAAGTTTGGCTCAGTGAAAAAATGTAACTGGTTTAGAAAAAAACATATGGTTTCAGTCTATCTGTGAAGTGAGTTGTAGAAAGTTGTATTGGTTTCATGAGTTCCTTGCTGTTTGAGTTGACAGTCAATTGGTTTATTACCAGTAATAAATGCACTCACACGCTGTCAGATGGTTACGTTATCAAAACCAGCCTCATACCAGTAAGTGCTCTCTTTCATTTTCAGAGATTTGAAGCCAGAAAATATCCTGCTAGATGATTATGGTAAGTCTCAGAGGTTTACAGAGATGCTTTCATATTAAAGTAGATTAGGTTGGGTTTAGGATATATACTGTACAAAGACAAATAATGCTCTGAAGTGACTAAGAGGCTCAGCACATGCTAATACTGCTGTCTTGGGTGGGTGGAGTGCTGGAGCTCACTGCATGGATGGAAGGAAGCAGGGTTTGTTCTCAGAGCACAGCTTTGCTGGAGGTGTCTGCCTTCTTTCATTGTTGTTCCATCCTTACTGTTGCAAGGCTGACACCACACAAAGGAAGTTGTAATTTCTGTATCTGTGCTTCCCACTCCGTTTACAGAAGTACTTTCATCCTCTGCTGAGCCAACTCTCGGTTTATGCAGACCCAGGTACCCGTTTGCTCTGAAGGGAGCGATAATTGAATCTCATGATGACTTACAGACCAGATGTAGCCCCTTCAGCCATCAAAGAGCTACCGAATTATGTCAGCCCATCCATCCCCTGTGATCAGTTCAAGATACTTCCCTCCAGCCTGCTTCCCATTGCCTTTTTTCTGTTGTTGGTTTTAAAATACCTAACACAATCCACTCTAGTCTGTAGCCTCACTGTTAAAATACATTTCACTGCATTGTAATTCCCTTAATCATTCCTCCTGTCCTTATCAATGAAACTGCTCTAATTCAGCAATCGAAAACACTCTTTACTTAAAATGTCTGAAAAGTTCATTGCAAGGGTATTATAGCAATAATAACAGTTGTAGTTTTGGCCTAATCTGGGTCATATGTCTACTTTATGTTATTTGGTTTCTTTTTTCCTTCTAGGCCATATTAGAATATCTGATTTGGGTCTAGCTGTTAAAATCCCTGAGGGTGAATCAATCCGTGGAAGAGTAGGAACAGTAGGGTATATGGGTAAGTCTTTAGTAGCTCATCTTTTTGATAATTTGCTGAGATTACTTGAGTTTTGGAGATCTTTCTGCCATGTAAAAGATTCACATTCAGCTGTGTCTGGGTTGCTAGACAGCAACCCACCAAGAGTCATACGAGTGGAAATCAGAAGTGGGCAAAAGGATGGACCACAGCAGCTCATAATGAGATGGGTTTATAATCTTAAATCAGCAAAGAAAGTAAAAGGGGAAATAGCAACTGAGATTATAGGGGTTGTGCTGTAGTTTTATTTTAGGAGGACTGTGTGCTAAAATGGAGGTTTATTTGTAGTTGCTGTTTTGTATAATAGTTTAAATGTACATTTATTATAATACGGGTAAGTCTGCACCTATGGTCATCTTGACCAAGGTCATCTTGAGTCTTCCCCTACATGCAGGAGAGGCTGTGAGAAGGAAGATTAGAGGTGTGTACATTGGTAAAAATCACACTCAACTAGATCAGGTTTCTGATATTCAATGTAATTATTTGCATTCATTCTGTGGGTGGGCATATTTCTTGGAATAAAAATTGTTTATGCTTATTTGACTAAATGGAAACTAGCTGATACGAGCCACTGTTGCAGCATATGGAGACTTGAATGAAAGCAGGCAAATCAGTTGTCATCTCCAACTTTTGTTATCTCAGTTTAAGTTTGTGTACACACTAAGACTCTGTGCTTGTGAGCACATGGGTATTTGTGCGTACAGAAGTGAGGATGCCTGCAACACAGTGCCTGTAGAGCCAAAGCACGCTGGATGGTTGCAACACAAAATAAATGGATTTGGTTTTTGAATGGGGAAAAAATAAGTTGTAAATTAACCAAAAAGACAGAACTTGCTTTTGAAGAAATGTCACTGGTGTTTACAGGATGCGTGTTTGCATGTCATTCCTTCCCTAAATGGAGAAATCTGGAAGGGTTCTTAAGATTAGGCTTCTACTTAATACTTTGCTTCAACTTCTTTCTTGTTGTTTTAATTGGTCTGACTTAGTGGACAAGTCAGAAGACAGCATGCACATGGCATGGAGCATGTAGAGAGAAAACCATGGCATGTAGCATGCTGCATTTTCTGTAATGCCATCAACAGCAACCACTCTCTGTGCATGTGTGTTCAGTCACCAGAAGAGAACTTATAGAAATGTAAGGGTTTTTTGCTTATGTGAATATCAAGCATTTCCACAGGAGACATCTTTCTTCTCCACAGCTCCTGAAGTGTTGAACAACCAGAGATACACACTCAGCCCTGACTACTGGGGGCTAGGCTGTCTCATTTATGAAATGATTGCTGGGCAATCACCATTCCGTGGAAGAAAAGAGAAGGTGAAGAGGGAAGAAGTGGACAGGAGAGTGCTGGAGACAGAAGAGGTGTACTCCCATAAGTTTTCTGAGGAGGCCAAGTCCATCTGTAAAATGGTAAGGGGCTTGAAGGCCCAGTGTGGCAGCTTCATTAGCAAGCTGTATCTGATGGTCTGAGCGGTAACACAGTACCATAGATGGGCTGCAGAGACAAGGACTAACGAAGTTCATCTGTTGATGAGATGATTGCATTCTCTATTCATTCAAATTGTGTTTATTTGGGCTTGCTTCTCCATGAGATTCATCACGGTCATCTTGAGTCCTCTCCAAAAGTTTATGGTCAAGGGAGCGGAATCTATTCTCGTGAGACTTTGAATGTTAGTTTGCAGTCAAGAATGCTTTTCTGTCTTTTATAATCTTGGAGAAAAAAATAAAAAGGACTTGATGATGCAAGACTCTGATTGTCTCCTGCAAGGAACTGAAAACCCCACGCTTCCATTGTCTTTGGTGGGAGCTGGGGGTAAGCAGGACAAAGATTATGCAATGAAATTACTGTGACACTCAAATGTTGTCCCACCCCATCTCACTAACTTTCTAGCAGCTTTTCCCCCGGGGTGCCAGGGTATCCAGCTTTTTTAATACTGTTGAGCTGTCCTTTAAAATGTTTTCTCACTCTTTCAGCTGGGAGTCATTTTCGTAGCACAATAGCCATGTCTGACAATGGAAATCCTCAAACCCTCTGAGAACTCTCAAAGCTGTGTCTGAATTCATCAGTGTCTTGTCAACAACCATCTTCAGAAGGCTGCACTGTAATTTGGAAAGGGATGTGGCCTTTTTCTTAATGTTGTTTGCTAAAGAGTGAAGTCTCCTTTGGAGACAATGACATATCTGTGTATGCTGTGAGGGAGAGAATGAAGGGAAAGAAAGGTCAACAAATAGGTAGTGAGAGTTTCACCAGTATCTTGTGCAACAGGCAAGCAAACTGCGGATCAACAACATCGCTGGTTGGCTGGCTTCACAAAAAAGACACTGAAGTCTCCTTGCAAAATAATAATGGTAGCATTGCCAAGTATCATGCCTGGAAGTCATTAACTCACAGTGCACCAACTTAGTGCTGAATCCCCAGGGTAGTAATTAACTGACATCACTCTTGATAGATACTCTAGGCCATTCACTGCCCTTAATCGGCGATGCAGAGCCCCCACTGAAATCAGTGTGGGAGGATCTAGGACAGCCACAGGCTCTTACAAACCATTGCATGTACTCAAACAGCTTGCTATCGCTGTGCTAGTAGCATCTCAACTCCCACCAGGTGAGGAACAGCATCTGATGGAGCAGCAGAGTTTGTGCGTGTCCTGTTGTTAGCGTGAAATGAAAATGTTGTGAGGCAAAAGTTACACTCCTGTTGCTTGTTCTGTAGTTAATTGCAGGCATGAGGCATTATAGAATGAAAATATACTTCGAAATTAACCAACTTAAAGCTCAGGAGAATTAAATGTAGCATTGATGGGATAGTGCTGGAGATGACCCAGCACTCTGAAGGGAGTAGACATTGAAAGTCATTATGCTACAGTGGTCATTTTCATCTTCAAGCCATAAAGCCCTGGTTTCTGGGAGTCAGGGACCTCAGGAAGTTGTCTAGTTCAGTCCCTTGCCTCAGGGAAGCATGAACTCTATGTAAATCATTCCTGACAACTTGATCATTACTGCTTCACTGTCCAATCATGTGGCATATTTATTTATTGTGGTTTTCCATCCAGAAGTCATTTATCAAATGATAGCTTTAAAAATCCATGATTCAAATAAATTTTCCCAAGTTCTCTTTGCTCTTTATATTGAAAAAAAAAAAACAGAACTTTGTTCCTTTGTACCAGCATCTTAACAAGGAATCAAAAAAGTAATCATTAAGTACCCATTATATTTGCGAAATGAAGCATAAAGTTGCAGTACATAAATCTAACTTGAGCCTTCACAAAGATCCAACACAAAAGGCTTTCCCCATAGTGAACTCTTCAGGGCAGGAGTAAGGAACATCATGTTTTCCACCATGTTGCCTAACCACCTCTTCAAAGCTTTCTCTATAAGCTAATAGCATCGCCACCAGGAAATGTATTGTCTTTATTCCTTTAGTCATATGAAAACCCTTTTAGTGTCACCCCATGTCAACCTTCCTGGCCTGGATGGTTATGCCCTTTGCATTTTTGCAGGCGCATATCGTAGCTCCCATTAATCATCATCCATCCCGTATTTCTATGTTTCATTCTGTAAGTAATTTCCCATAAATCAGACCTCATTTTGGACTGAAACAGAGATGAATAATAAATAATTAGGAACAGGGGCAGCTGGCTTTCTGGGAAGCTCCCCAACCCATAGTTCCCATATAACATAACTGCCTCATGGTGTGTTTTTTCTGTGAAAAATCCAATCTTTCTAGGAAATGCTCCCTGTTTATTGTTGTGTCTTCTACTTCACTGATGTATGTGTGTGTTTTCCCTGACAAGTGCAGTCTTGCATCCAGAGATGTGACTTGAAGTGCATTCAAGTCAACAGTATTGGATGGGCCCATGCTGCTGTGTTCTTCTGTCACTCTTTCAGCGTCCTGTTTGTCTGTTTCCTGCATACTGTCTTCTCTGATGCCTTTTATTCCTACATCTCCTATTTTACTCCACAAAAGTGATCTCTGATAGGAGGGTGCAAAGGAGACACAGCCAAACTTTTGGTCTGGTGTCCAGTGACAGGACAGGAGGCTATGGGCACCAACTGAAACATGTGAGGGTCCCTCTGAACATCAGGAAACACTTTTCCACGGTGAGGGTAGTCAATTACTGGAACAAGTTGGAACTAGATGGACTAGAAGGACTAAGGTCCTTTCCAACCCTATTCTATGTTGTCCAGAGAGGCTGTGGAGTCTCCACACTTGGAGGTATCCAAACCCCAACTGGACACGGCCTTGAGCAACATGCTCTTGATGACTCTGCTTTGAACAGAGAGATTTGACTAGGCATCTCCAGAGGCACCTTCCAGCCTCAGCTGTTCTGTGATTCTGATCTCCATTCCCTCCCCAAAGTGCCTCCTCAGCCAGCCTAAAGCTGATGGATTCTTTTTTCCCTAAAGGCAATGTTTTCTCTTCCTCACCGCCAGCAACTCTTTCATCATGCTGCCACTCCTCCTGCTTTCATCCCTGGAAACCAACTTGTTCACACATTAGAACACCTTCAAGTTTATCAGCACTGCCTGAGAATAACTGTCCTTTCATCTGTCTTGAGAGGTACCTCGCACACATCGAGGTGGTCTTCAAATGATTATCATTGCTATTGTTGCTGCTAATGATAATAATAACCCTGAGTAGTAAGCCTTTGCAATAAGATTGTCACCCATGCCTGAGAGTTTTGACTTTTCAGTTGGCCAGATTGGGCTGTGATTTCATAAGCATAAGCAGTGCAATATACAGCCATTCTGGCATCTTCAGTTCCCACACCACTGTCTTGTCTCATCTGGTAATTGAGAGATGACCATGGAACTTTTCTGTTCTCTAAAATATGTTAAAAATAGTATGTTTACTTCTTTTTGAAGGTTGACATTTAACTGGTGATCCCGTAGACTATTTGATCATTTGGGTCAATGGAAGTGGTTTTACCATTCCCCTTCTCTCCTTTCATGAGCAGAACTTTGCACCCTTACCCTAGAAAACATTTCCCTTATATCTATAATATTAAGACTAACATCTTTGGACTTGGAGTTGTTACATGGTATGATCTAAATATGAACTGACTGATCACATGAAGATAAATAAAGCAGCACTTTGGGGACTGTTGGCTGTTTTTAGCCATCCTCACAACAGTTGTTTGTGTTTGTAAAGGAAGAAAAAGAAGTCGTGGAAAAAAAGTCTCAGACATTGCAGAGTTCGAATCCCCAGAGGGGAACAAATGAGTGACATGAAATCATCAGAGAGTTCTTCGTACCAGGAGAGAAGATTTTAATGTAACTTCACTGCTGCTACTCAAGACTTTTCTTTGAAAGTCCCATTCTAGTCATGCTTTGCCCATAACTCTGTAGACTGAATCCTGCCCTCATTTACACATCTCCAGTGTCATCTGGAGCCTTTGTTACCAGAACGTAAAGCTCTGCTGCTTGGTATCAACTTCATGCATGGTTGGATGCCATGGGCCATCTTCAGATCTGAAGCTCTGTGAATTCCCATAGGCTTTGGCGGGGTCTTACATTTGTTTGGGTCATTCGCACTGCAGTCCCAAGAGGGCTTGTCATCAGCCTGATGTAGTTGCTTTTGTTCTGCTCTTTATTCATATTAAATACATCCTTTTAAATGGAATTAAACAAAACTGTAGAGATGACTCAAGACATACTGATGTTATCTCAGTTTTCCTTTCCTGAGCAGATTCCCAAATGGGATGCATATTTCAGGCTATTACGCAGGTTTACTATTGCAGAAAGCTGCTGGGGCTGCAGGAAATGGTTCAAGACTCATTATTCCTTGAAGACAGGAAGAACTATTTCTTCTGGATTCTAGTCCTTGCTATCTCTTGATATCCATAACAGAAGCCAGAAGTGTCTGGTTTCACCCGTTGCCATCTCTAGGGCTGTCTGCAGCTATAGCTGAACAAATTCCATTAACTTCTTACTTTCTTCTCCACTGGGACTCTCCTCAAGAGGCAGGCACCGCTCCACAGCAGCAGGGCTTTGCAGGAGAACCATCTCCTTTCTGTGATCTTTCAGTCCCAGCCTATTCCCAGCGGCCTGCTTCCTTTTGTGTCTTTCAGCCACCCGTGACCAACTGCATTCCTGCTCCAGACACTTCCATCTTGCAGCTGAGGTTACTGAATATTCCCTTGTTTATCATGGAGGAGCCCAAGAATCCCCAGACTGCCTTTTTCTATCCTCAACTACCCTATCGCCTGACCACAAACTCCAGCCAACTTCGAACATTCACAGCCTGGCAAGGGTAAATTCCCAGATTACCCTGGTCTTCCCAGTTAATCCAGAGGCAGGGGAATTGCTGGCTGCACAGATGGATGGTAAAGTCACCCCCCTTCTTCCCTTCACAGCTGACTTGTAGAGCAGAAACTCAGAGGTCTCCTTTATCATGTACAGGCAAATCCAGATCTACCCCTTTCTACTACAACCTGCTCCTCAACATCACTGTTCCCAAAAGCTTCAGGGTATCAGTTCCAAAAGTGATGCCTTTTACTATCCAAGTCAGAGACATGGGTAGTAAAAGTGGTTCTTCCGCCTTCAGATTCTTCTTTTCACCTGTCAGGAAAGTCTTCTCAACATGAGAACAGAAGATCAAAAGAACTTTTGTCTTCTCTGCCCATTCACAACAGAGCAAACCAGATCTTGACTGGGAATTCCAAAGCAATCTTCTTCACATAGGCTAAATCCATATGCCTGTTGGGATTAAAAAGAAACAAAACAAACCCAAACCCTCTAAAATCCCACAACAAGAAACCTTGCATCAACACCACGAGAGCTTGAAGTCTCATGCAAGGATTTGAAAGCAAAACATCCCCCTTTTCTGGGAAAGTAAGCTTGAGAGAAGTGCCCAAGAAAGGTCTTTTCCTATCAGCTGGATAAGTATGGTGCTGTATCACATGAACCTATGTGCTCAGAGGATAGAAAGGCATAGAAATGTTTCTTCAAGTCTCAGTCTCAGCCAGTCATGGTGACCAGTCAGAGCAGATGTCACCACCTAGACCGCAGCAGAAGAAACTGCGAGGAAGAAAGGGATGTTGCTATCTGGAAAGTGGAAGTTGCTGTTATAGCCAGAACCACTCGCTTTTGCCCCATCCCTCGATCCATACAGTCTCCTCTGGCTATTGCTGCTGCTACTGCTGAGGCAGAAAGAGCTGAGCAGAAAACTCTTATGTCCCACAAATCCCTTCATCACCTCTTCTGGCCGCTTGGCCTCTGCCACTGCAGTTTACTCAGGACTGGCTGGAGAGTGATCAATGCACACATGGGGCACACTGATTGCCAAAGCCGTTTGCTGTCTCAGGCTGGAAATGAGGCCCCTAGCAACAAAAATGCAGAACTGAGAAGGCTGTGGAAGCCCGATAAGAAACCCACTGATGCCCAGGGGGTGGCAGAGCATTCAGAGAAGCCTAAAGAGCTGTGACCCTGTAAACCCGTGATAAGGACAAGAAAGCTTCGGCTTTAGCCAGACACCAGAGGACAAATCACCAACCTCACATTAACAGCAAGCAGTTGTTGCAAGGTTTCTCCTCATTGAGATGATGTGGCTGAGAAAGCAGCAAAACCAGAGGGTACTGAGGCATATCCTGAGCTGGAAAGCCTGAAAACAATCCTTGGCAGGGAAGGTGCCTGGCTCCCCGCTCCCAGCCTCCTGCAGCGCTGCACCTGATTGTTGATCTCCTGCAACACTTCTTTTCCTCTCCCACCCTCCCAAAGCTATTTGCCTCCTGCTTTCCTAATTGAGCCCCAGCCAGGTGCTGCATGGTACAGCTCCATGTGCTCACTGCCCTGGCTGTCAGGGACCCTGGTAAGATCCCTAGGGATTCATCCAGGGGGGCTCCCATGGGCTCAGAGGAACAAGACGAGGAAACAGCCTCAAGCTGCACCAGGGGAGGTTTAGACTGGATATTAGGAACAATTTCATCACCAAAAGGGTTGTTAAGCATTGGAACAGGCTGCCCAGGGCAGTGGTGGAATCACTGTCCCTGGGAAGTGTTCAAAACCATGTAGATGAGGCCCCCAGTGACATGGGTTAGTGGTGGCCTTGAAAGCGCTGGGGTAGCGGTTGGATTTGATGATCTTAAAGGTCTTTTCCAACCGAGTTGATTCCATGATTCTATAAAGCAAACCACCCCATGTCCTCCATGGACGTGGAAGGCATTCCCAGCGAGTTTTGCTAATCCTTTCAGTGCCATTGGTCTGCACAGCCCACCTGGGGAGGCAGTGAAGGGAGATCGCTGCTTTTGAGCTCCGGTTCGGAGCAACAAAGCTGCAGACGGAAGAGGAGGTGTGGCGTGAACCTTTCCGCCCGCTGGGCACCGGTCCCCTCCTGCCCCAGGGAAGAGCCCGCACACAGCTCCCACCGCTCTCCATCCCCAGGGGAAGCCAACGCCTCGCTGCCTCCGGCCGTGCCCGACCACCGCCCCGCCCCGCCCGGCCACCGCCCCGGCCCCGCCGCGCTGCCCGGTGGCTCTGCCCTTTCCTCTGCTGCCCCCCGGCGGCCCCCGCGCTGCTCTGCAGCCGCGCTCCCTCCGCCGGGCTGCGCCGGGCACCCTCGCCCGCCCCACTGCCTGAAGCGTGCCCGGCTCCAGGGGGGATACCCTGCCTATGGAAAAGGGCTGCTGTTGTTTCCTCCGTGATGTGCAGTGTAAGCGTCTCTCTCCACAAGTGCAGACTCCAGCAAAGCCATCCTTGACTGGTTTCAATGCATGTTCAGTTTTCTGTTGTACCAAGGCAGATGTCATCCATCTCTTTAACCAGCAGTTGAAATCTCTGTGCACATCATGGTGAGTTCACAGTTGTATTTTCCGTCCTTTAAGAGAGCATCTTGCAGGGTTCCTCAAAGAGCATAGAACAGTTTGGGTTGGAAGGGACCTTCAGCAGTCATCTGATCAGTGCTGAGTGGATGGGGAAAAAAAGAAACAGATTTATGAATCTTTACTTTTCAGCATTGCCTGAAGTCAGGGATAGACTTAGAAATGTCCCTGTCCAGGTGACGGTGGGCTTGTACCAGTTATTTGCAGTTCTGCCTCTCTTCAATGATTCAATAAACCATTTCACTTGGGCCATTAAGTAACAGCAGTTACAATTCCCCTCTGTACTTCCCTCTGGGCACATTCAAAACCAACTGGAGATAAAAATATCCTTGTGGAGTTCTTGCTTTTCTAACATCCCCTCCATTCCTCTTGGCTTGTTTCAGCTCCTCACCAAGGATGTGAAGCAGCGGCTAGGATGTCAAGGGGAAGGCGCGGCAGAAGTGAAGAGGCACCCCTTTTTCAAGAGCATGAATTTCAAGCGGTTAGAAGCAGGAATGCTGGATCCTCCCTTTGTCCCTGATGTGAGTACAATAGGAAGAACCCCCAATGGCCTCTTTCAAGAGACTTGTTTCTAAAGTATCTTCTGTCTCTGAGAGCTGTCATCACTCTCTGCATCGATAGCTGCCCTGGGAAGTTGGAGTGGGGAGCCTGGGAGGAAGAGGAGAGCTGATCTGTAGACTTGTGTATGCAGGGTGGGTGGCCTTACATATGGGGTGGTAATCTGGGAGTTGATTCTTTCCCACTCACTTTACACGGTCTTCCTGTGTGACACTGGAGACACCACTTGATCTCTTTGTGCCTCAGTTCCCAAACTTTAAACTGGGAACTTTTGTATCCCCATATCCACGGTAGTATTGTAAGGACCCCGTGGTGCTTGGAACAATCGTCAACGAAAGCCACATGTCTGCATACAGATAGATGGATATATATGCTGAGGTGAAGCTAGAATGACGAAGTCCAAAGGTCTATGGAACTGAGAAATGGACTGGATCATCATAAAAACAGGCATTAGTTACAGAGTCTGAACCAGGTTCAGGTATCAAGTGTCACCTCAAGCAGAGGAGTTAGCTTGGACTTGAGACAGCATTTTGAACTTGCTAGTGTTCATGGGGCACGGAACCCAACATTGAGTCCTTAACTCAGGTTTTCACACCCATCTTGCACATACTAAAGTCTTTGTTGCATTGGCAATGACAAAACCTTTTCCACTGTTTTGTGGTGTCGGTCTCTACCCCAGGGCAGAGTTATCTGATCATTTTCCTCCTGCGGGGCTCTCTTTCTGGCTGGATCTTCTATCCTTAAAGTTCCCATATGGTTCTAAGTAAACACTGCCATTTTAACGTATTAAGGAAAGCATCGTCTTGGCAGCTCTCATTCACGTTGCTGCAAACTCCACCAAACCAAAGTGGTTTGAACACTACAAAAGTTTACTTTAGCTGCTCTGGTTTTGCTTTACATTTTACTATGCGGCCTAGTTATTCCTGCCAATTAGCCCGTGGTGTTACGACCTGCTTTAGTGGGAAGAAATAGGAGACAAGCTACTATTTCTTTCTGATGTAGAAAATGAGAAAATTCTGGGCTCGAATTTGGGATCCGCCAGAGTGTATTAAAAGCTTAACTGTGGCATGTAAGGCCCAGGAGGCACCTCTGATGATAGACATATTTGCTAAAGCAGAGGCACATAAATTTTTATGGCTATTTATTGGGAACTCAAGAGCTGCTCCTAATTTAATTTGTTTGGCACTTCATCCGTAGATTTCCAAGTCTTTACTGAAGTCAGCCGAATCACCCAAAGCTATATAGCCAATGGCAGGGGTTGTAATCCAACCCACGTCTCTCCATCCTCTTCTAGGCTACTTTGTCTCCACAAAAATGTTGTGGATTGCAGCCGTCAGGAATGCAGAAGGAGGCAGCCTCCAGCAAACAGGACTTCTATCAGGAATCAGCTTGATTTGTTTGGTCACACTGCTCAGATCTAGATAAAACACCGCATGGTTGGACCCCTGGGCTGTGCAGTCATGGTGCCGTGTACAGACAGTAGGATCCAATACGTGTTTGAGTTCAGCAGGTCAAGCTAGTCCCACAAGCCACCCCTCAATGACTCCTGTGCATCAAAGGATAACTGTGTGGTTGATGGGAGCTCTCTAGGCACGCAGATGACCACACTATGACAGGTGATGACTATTTCTGCTTCCTGCGGCTGACTGCTGGGACAGGAGCTAAAAGCAGCGTCACTGCAAAGAGTCCACTCTCTGTCATCACATGTAATTAAGTAGTTCAAAAAGGCAAAGCCATCTGAGTATTTGTTTGAAGCAATGCAGCCCAGTTGAAGGAGTTGATAGAGGTGACGCTGGACAGCTTCCAGCAGCTGAGCTATTAATGAAAACAATGGAAAAAGGCCAAACCTCTTCTGTTTTCTTTAGCAATTAGTATACATTCCTCTAAACTTTTAAGCTGGAAACTCCACAGCTATCTGAGCAGAAGGAGCACTTCTGTTTGAGTTCCCTTTTCAGAGCTGTCTCCAGTGTGCCACTCACGAGCATGCTGCTTTCTTGTAGGAGCCACTCTTCAATAGAGAGGGAGCTGACTACTAGAAGAGACTACTACTGGTACTACTACTAGAAAAGACTACTGAAGGATCTGATTTTTGTTTTCTTGCTCTTTCTGTCCTTTTCCCTCACCTCTTAACCATATGCTACATGGATGACTAAAACCCGCTTTGGCTTTGCTGATGCTTTTAAGGACTTCATATGGGAAGCTTAACATGCTTAAAGCGAAGCCAGCCTTTGATGGAAACCATGCGGGCAGAGCGGGTCTAGAGAAGCAGGACACAGATGATAGTCACTTCTTGTTAGGCATTCTCACTTGACTGAATCTGTGAATGAAAGCACATGGTCAGACTCAGAAATATGTTTTCTCTTGCTGTCTCTCTGTGTTTTCTCTTTGTGCTGAGATAGCCCAGAGCAGTATACTGCAAGGATGTGTTAGACATCGAGCAATTCTCCACAGTGAAAGGAGTTAACCTGGACCAAACAGATGATGATTTCTATTCCAAGTTTTCCACAGGATCAGTGTCTATTCCATGGCAAAATGAGGTAAGGATGTATCATAGTAAAATTACTCCAGTAAAACCCCTAACACAGATGGTTTAAGAGGAGCTGTGTATTTCTATTAATACATTGCTACTGGATAACTTGCCAGACTTCAATGCTTTCATAAGTTACAAATGGCCTCTTTCAAGATCTGTAACTTACCACAGATGTCAGGTTCAGGTGACTGCATCTGTTGGCTCTGCATTGTGTAAGTTGGCAAGGATCCTACTGTACGTACTTCTCCTGGGTTTCTACTGAGGTGTTTCAACAACAGCTCTCAGGAACTTCTGTGGGCTGGCTGGAAGACCTAATGTCTCCTCCATTGGTGATCCTGATCTCACCCTCTGTCTTGTACCTGCAGCACATCCCAGCTGCTGCAGTTGTCTCTGGACCTTCAACTGCTGCAGGGTTTCCAGATCTGGGGCTTTGTTTCTGTTTGATATCAAAACATAGCCAACAGTTGATTTCATAATCCAGCTCTAGATCAAACAGCAGACCCACTTAGGCAGAGGGGTGCTAATAGCTGGGGGTTTGTGAGTATTCCTGTCTTTACCCAATGTTCTTCACAGGCCTGAAGAAAAGAACAGAAAGCTTTATGGGGCAGCTTCTAATAAGGCTGATGTGCAAACATGCAGAGCGGACTCAGCCTCTCCTTTTCATGCATCCTATTTGCCTTTTATAGCCAAGAGTAGGAATTCAGCTGTTAAGTCTCCTAACATATCGCTCAAGCTGCTGTTCCTGATCCTGACTTTGAACAACCTGGCCCTAATGCAATATATTCAATGCAGATGTATAATTTCTTTATTTCTTATTGTTTCCCACTAGATGATAGAAACAGAGTGTTTCAAAGAACTGAATGTATTTGGACCAAATGGTACTATTTCACCAGACCTAAACAAAAGCTACCCCCCAGAGCCACCCAAGAAAGGATTGCTACAGAGAATATTTAAACGACAGGTAAGATCTCCCATGACTAAGACATGGAAAATCCCATAGATGCCCAGTTCACAAGTGGTACTTTATACTGTATATCCCACATTTCCCATCTACCTCTTGATATTTTTTTTCCCAGCAGAAGTTCCAGTGTTGTTCCCAAGCTTTGTTTCCAGGAGTTGAAAACTTCTTACTCAATCTATTTTTCAGTATTATACTGAAATGCCTTTTGAAATGGTTATGTGGTTTTAATAAGTTCTTTGTGAAAGTCCTAGATTTATGTTTTTAAAGAAGAGAAAAGGCGTATTTTGAGTGCACTGGTCATGGCAGGAAACCAAGACACTAGAGAAGAGAGCAGACCAGATACTATGTGATGTACAGCTTTCATGAGGCACCACTTGCAAATCTAAGTAACATTGCCAGACCAATCTGTTTCTGTAGGGTTAAAACCATAGCTGAGCACTGGCAGGTGTCCTCTGTATTAGTCAGATTTAGTAGGTCCTGACGTTTTGCAGTGAATTGATTTGACTCCTGGAGCTCTAGTGAGTCTTTTTTGCTGGACTCCTCAAGAACTGACATGGTCCTCCAGACCTAGAGGGAATATGGGTAAGAAGGTGAAGGATATTTTACATCCAAAGGTCTTCAAACAAAAATCTTGCAGTCCAGTCAATCATGTTATCACCCTAAAAAGAACAGTGTTAGACTGAAAGAAAGAATGGCATATTTGGGAAGTCTAATTGTCATTGTCTTCCTCTTTCTACAGCATCAGAACAATTCAAAGAGTTCTTCAAATTCAAAGGCCAGCTTAAATCACCACATAAATTCAAATCACGTAAGTTCAAACTCCACCGGAAGCAGCTAGTTCCAATTCAGTTTTATGAAACAACATGTTGCATCCTTCCACTATAATCTATGGCGCTTCTATGGATGAGAGGGCCTCCACCATCGAGTGAAAAAGAAAAAGGATCTCCCAAAAAGGAGATTTTCTATCCATTCCTTCCAGTGGAGCCTCGCATTTTAAGAAGAATTTTCCACTCAGGTCTGTTTTTGGAGGTGGCACTCAAGACTGTGTGAATCAAGTTTGTCTCTTTAGAACATTGCAATAGAAATTCAATGAACATGACTACTTGCACGTATTTAACTAGCATCATACTAGAACTGAATTTTGTCTTTATTATTTTTAAAGGAAAGTTTTGTAAATTTCTCTATTGTCTCAGTTTACATTTTGTACATTTGTATTTAAATGAAAGTCAGACTTTGGAGGTGTATATTTTCCAAGCAGCAGCTGTAAAGCCATGTGTTTTAAGACATTTTTTTAAGAGAAAAAAACAAAACACAACAATGTGACTCAAGACTTCCAGAGCCTCAAACGAGAAATCATTCTTTTTAGTAATTCTAGAGAAGTATTCATAAATCACTTTATCAGACTGGGGTTTATTGACACGCATTTGTATGGAACAGTTTATGCTTAATTATTTTACATCTGTATATTTGGTTTACAGCAACACTGCATCATACATTTCTCCTCTTCATTAGTTTGTAACATCTCGCATTAAATGCTAAAAGACAAGATTTTGATGCATTCAAGAATGCTGCTTGCTACGCCTAAGGTTTGGGATGTCATGGGACCAGCACAGCTGAGATTTGCACTTCCTTATGTTGTTAGCTCATCAAAAACTGTTTCGTTAGAAGGGGAAGCCTGTTTTAAGCCCTTCTGCTTCACTAGTTTTTGTGCTGTTTCTAACAACAGCATGAAGAAAACCGAGTGAGAGGTGACCAGGAAAGCAAATGACCGGTTGTTTCTCAAGGACTCAGAACCTGCCCCTGCTGAAATGGGAGCAAAACAGAAGCGTTCTCCATGCTGCAGTCAAAAGTCCAAGGCCTTTCCGCAGCTGCTCATATCAAACAGGTAGCAAGAGAGAAATTCAATAGAGAAATTCAATGACCAAGAGCTTCATGACAGCTTTCTAGAGCTGTGGAAGTTCAGAGTGGGATCTGGTCTGCTTTTGAGCAGTAGCAGAACCTAGAGGTTGCATCTGCACTTAGAGTACTTCCATGTGTCATGCCAAACACACTTCTATTAGGTCCTCAGCTCAGTTGAGAAATATGTCAGTCATGAAACAGTAGCTCCCACTGTTGGTTCCATCATTCTTTGTCCATCATTCTTTTTAACCATTGATGAAAACATTGTTCCCACTAATATAAACAGGGTCAGGCAGGATCAGCAGCAGTACCTCAGGCATCAGAATCATGCTCGTCTCTAGTGTGTCACTATCTATAATTATTAAGAACACCAGATCAAAAATATGGCTACTTCCCTTCAATAGGAATTGGAAAACCTTTGTGCAGGCAGGATCTCTATAGCCCAACATGTTCTGTAAAACACATTGGCTCTCTATGCTCTTTACAATGTTGTCTAGAGTATACTGATGATTCTACACCTTTGGGTCATCAGGAACATCTGAGGGTCAGCCTGGTGTGTCTAAAACCCTTTTAGTTAGTAGGGCAGCTATCCCGGGGTACAAGGAAGCACTGTTCCAGTGGAAGTTTTAATAGCCAAAAGTCATTAGACTATCGTGTATATGTTCTATCTATCTGGCCAATGCAGGGGCAAAAAAGATGCAGGTTAGTAGGGGCAAATGTCAGAGTGAGAAAGACACAGGAATCACATACTAAACCAGCTTGAGTTCATGAGGGATAGACACAGAACAGAGGCAGGATTTATATTACACAACTGTCAGAGAAAAGTCAGGAAAAGGAGATGAGGCTTTGGTGCCTTTATCAGGAATAACGTACATGAAGGTGCAAGTCCACGTCATTTCAAAAGCCTCCAGTTTTCCTGGTTATTAGTAAACACGTAGTGAAGCTGTGTAAGTGTGCCATGGTATCACCAAGAAGTTGTTCTTTTTCCTGCAGATCAGTGTGGTCCAGAAATTCCTTTCCCCTGCATTGGTGGTGCTCAGGGAGCGCTTCAGCCACTCTCCCATGTCAGATGATGGCATTGCAGAGCTTATGGAAGATGCAAGATTTTAGAGAAACAGTAATAGATGAGAATTTGGTACAATTTTATCTGTCTGTATCAGCTATAAACCAAATCTAGAATGGTTTCAGCTTCCTGACAGGAGGGGAATGAAATATTGTAGAGGTGAAAGCCACTATACACAGATAGGGCTAACACCTCCGGTTCTGTTCTCATGGCCTGACATAAAGCTACGTAGGTCAACAGGAATCTGATCAGTCACTTGAGCACACTCTGGTTGAAGACACACTTGCTCTGGGAGGTTTTCACAGGTCTTCCTTAATGACATGTGGGATTTCACCTTATTTCAAGAAATGTAGGTTAGAAGTGGAGGAACAGATCTTAGCCAGACAACTGATGTGTATCAGCGTTCCTGGGGCAAGACACACATCTTAGTTCTTCTTAGGGAGCTGCAAATGTTGTGCAACTCCGATCTGTTTCACTCTAAGACATCACCTTCTGATAACAGTATGGTATACAACATGATCGCTTACCCTCAGCTGGTTTCATCCTCTACACTGATGTCAAAGGATGAGGGTGGTAGATGGCGCGTATAGTGAAAGAGTAAGCTCTGTTTTCCACTTCTGCTTTGCAGCAACAGACGAGTATATTCCCCATCAGAAAAATGTGGCTGATAATATCTACCACCATGAGGAAGGAAAGATGGTTGGGGGAAGGCTTAGCCCATTAATATTTCATTGGATAAATCTGATAGAATTGCAGCTATTGGCCCAATCTCCTCTGTTGCCAATTTAGCATAGGAAGACTAAATTTTCTCTACCATCTCCCACCTGGGAAATAAAATCCTAATAACAATAAACCCTTTACTGAAAGCTGGTGAACTAATTGCAAACATTGATTGTAGATGGCCTCATAACTCTTAGATGCTGTCAGCTTTAACTAGCAGTGGATGACTGTTTTATGACAACAGTGAATGGTAGCATATGTGCCTTCTGCTCTCCTTTCAGCTGGGACAGTTGCTGACTCAGCACCTCTAGGACTCTAGCACTGCGATGCAAAGGTGATGAGAGCTGCATTCATTGAGTCCTGACATTTGGAGGACGTTATGCGAGGGCTAGATATCCTAAATCCTCGAGATGGTATGGAAGAAGGATGCTTATGTGCACCTGAAGTGTCAAGCCTGGGATGAAGTCCCTCTGGATCCCATCCCCTTGGGAGCAGTGAGACAGAAAACAAGACCAGTTGAGGGAGATTTTGTGCTGCATCCATAACGTGTTGCTATCCTGTCTGAAAAACAGGATTATGATGCTGAGGCAGCAGAACCGTTGTGCTCTTTCTGTCTCCAAGCCCTGAAAGATTCAATCAATATCATACATCACTAGTGATAATGAACAGGATTTGCCTACAACAACAAAACCTGTAGAATATTCTCTTTTATTGCTTCTTTCTCCTATTTTTTGCATTATTATTCAGCTTTGCCCTCAAGACTGGCGTAGGACCACAGTCCTCTCCCTTCCACTGTGTGACCAGGTGCAATCTGAGCCCAGAACTCAGGGCTGAAGCCCTGCCAAGGCAGCACCCTGCACAGCCAGGCTTCCACAGACACTTGGCATTTGCCTCTGTGGAGCCAAATGTAGAAAACCCTGGGAGCCATGGGTGTTCAGGGGCTTTGGGAGAAAACACCTTACGGTTTCATCCTACAACCTTGGAGAGCCTTTGGGGTTGCTAGTATTCTGCTTCCAAGTGACTAGGTTCTGATGTGGGTTTGCACATAACAAAGGAGCAGAAAGGAGCAGTGCTTTAATAGCTTATTAATAGACTGATTCATTTTCTGTATCTCCTTTCCAATGACAATGCAAATTCTTCCCCCAAAATGCACACATTCCAATCTGGTTGCTTGTTTTAAATAAATAGATGGGCAAACTTTGCTCTTTCTAAGAATCAGAAATCTTCTGCTATCTGATCCTGCACTGTGCAAGCATGGGTTTTGTGTTTAAATTGTTACTGAGTGGTCTGATGGACCCTAACTAGTGAACAGGCTTTGATGACTCAGATGTTTGCTGTTCATCTGCCACAGTGTCTCAAGGTTCTCTTTAGTCTTGGAGCATATTTTCCCTCTCTCTGGATGGATGAGAGACTTTTTTAAACAAAGGGATAATGAAGGGAAAAATACCAAACTCTTAGTGCACACTTTTGACCTGGATTACCTAAAAAGAGGTTTCTTTTACAAGAATGGCCATGACTCAGTCTTGTTTCTGATCAAAACCCTCCTTGTGAAGCTTGGAAAGGTGTGAAGACAATCAAACCAAACAGGTACTGAAGAGCAAACTGAGCGTTAGGGAGCTGCAGAATTCAATATCACAGCGTTCATCTGGCCCTGCTGATTAGAGTTGCCCAGTAACTGCAGTTCAGGGACAATACCAGCTATCTGTGAGAACAGTGTGATACCATCTCAATTTGCAGTCATCCCCTGCCCCAGAAACTACAGCTAAGAGTGCCACCAGCAGCTGGGAATCAAACTTGGCTGACCCAATAAAGCACCTGATTTGAAGACACCGATTCTTAGTGCTGTTCAACCAGGCCTCAAGATCCAGCTTGAATTCTTTGCTTCAGCTGTCAAAGCCTCACGTTTCAAATCCACTTCCTGTTGATCTTTTTTGGTAGGGATGCCTCAGCTAAAAAAGACAACCAGGAAACCAGTCTGTAATAGTAACAAAACCATGGGCAGGACAAGGAAGACAGACAAGCTGTGAGCTCTGGAGGACAGTGTGAAACTACCATAATGTATCGTCTTCAGCACATGTCCAATGGTGGTTGTTATCACACATTGCTGCACATTTATCCTTGTCCATCGTATGTTGTTCACAGGCTCTTTTGAGTAACCTGGAAATTGCACACACAAGTTCATGTTGAGCATAGGGTCTGGCGCACAGCTCAAGGACAGCACTGTCTCTATGAGGGTCAGATGGAACAGCTTGACAAAGCAAGTGGGTATCCACTCAGCCTGCATGAGCTGCCATCACCCAGGTCTCTGTTCCCATCTATCTGAGCCTCAGTCAGAATTCCCTGTGTAGGCTTTTCTGGAAGAGCAATAAATGCACACGCTTCTAGCACAGCTGCTTCTTCTTTCAGACATCCATGGAACAGGTTCCTGCAGGACCTGACTTCATTGTGGACGAGGTATGGGTGTTTTAACCTCTGCTCCACAGCTAGCTGTGATGTTTTTTCCTATTTGTATTTGTAATACTCACTTGTAAAGTCTCTCAGTGAAGAGGAGATCATTCATCAGGCGTTTCTAGGCATTCCCCTACAATCCTTGGAAAAAGAACATCCTTGGGCTGGTCTCCCCTTTGGGATGTAGACTCCCTTCATTTGTGTAGCATGAAGCATAAAGTGGCCTGCAGGAGCTCTAGAAGTCCAAACTTGAAGGCTAAGGTCCTGCCTAAGGGTGGTCCTAGTCTGTCTCAGGCTACAGGAAATTACATTTGGCAGTGAAGTTTGGGAGAATGGGTATGTTCAGTGGCTCCATGGAAAACAGAAGGTTATGGAGTTGCCTATCTCAAGCCCCTCACAAGTATGACCTGCGAGTTAAAATACTACTAATTATTGAGAGTAAGGATAATAATGACCAACCCCCTCATGCTAAAGCTGAGAGAAAGTCTGCATGAGTTTAGAACAATGCTTCTCTTTTGTGTGCTGGGCAGGACACCATCTCTTTTATACTAAAGAGTATTGCAGTGCTGGCTGGTCATAGCTTTCTGTCCTTAACTGCAAAAAGACAAATTAACTGGCTCAGAGAATTTGGCAAGTTATTTTCTTTAGGGAAACCACCAAAGAAGGCAAAAGCCAACAGCGTGCTACAGTATTACATGCTCACCTCCCCCAAATGTCTCTGAAAATACAAATACAAGCTGCTGCAGTTGGATCAGCTAAGCCAGTGTACTGTCAAATGGGCTTTATGAAAGAAACAGTTTGAAACAGATTGCTGTCTATTCACTAAAATGAGTATTACTGCTGGCACATATGTATTCTCCTTGGTTTATGTACTGGAGCCAGAAGTGGTGGTTTGTATTCCTATTCCGCCCATGTTTTTCTTCATTGCTTTGGGCAAACCTCTGTGCAATGTAGTTCTCCCATTCTTAAACACAAAGGGATGCTCTCTGTCCATCAATGGAAAGCACTTTGGTGTCTGTGCATAAAACAAATCAATATCAACTCTTTCTATTATTATTTGAGTGAAATAGGCTTAATATAGCTGCTCTTATTTACATGAGTAGGGCGATGACTTGTAAAGTCAGGCTCTTCGTTTATTATTGGCTTGTATTAACTCCTTAGAGATACTGAAACAGAATGCGCTGCCTTCTGTATGACATCTCCAACAGAAGATGAGGCGACAGTGCAAATGTTAAAGTATTCATTTCTAACTTAAGAGCTAGCTAGCAATCGTGGCATTCACACAAGCACCTCCTCTTTTTGTTACGTTGGAAATCAATAGTTAGGAGGAAGGAAACAAAATAACACTGTTTTGGCCAGGCCTGCAAACACATCCCTAGGTAGTCACTAAGTGAAACGCTGTGCGAAGGCACATCCGTGGCAAACCTTGGGTCAACTCACTGCCCAGCTCTGGAAACAAAAGAGGCAACCACATGCCTGGAATCAACGGGCTCCGAAGGGAAGCTCCAGGCTTTCTGGAGAATTAGTGGTCCTGCAGAGAAGATTCACTCCCAGAGAAGAAACATTTCAGGTAGTGGCTGGATGACAAATGTGTTTTCCTTTCTCATCACCCCGCACGCGGCTGTTAGATCTGTTTAACAGCAAGCTCAAATGAGTTATGTTTCATGTGTATCGAACGCGGTCTCCCTCAATTGCATTTCTTTTAAACACTGGACACTCTTCTAAAAGACTGAACATTTTAGCCTTTTGAAGGTGAAAGCTGTAAAAACTTTATTTTGTGTTTCTGAGCAAATGTAGATAGACCTAAAGATTTCATGAACTATCATGTGGTTGCCCATATCTGACTAATAATTGAATTGTAAACCCGCGGTTTCATGTTAGGGTTAGTCTTTTCACCTGCTTTAAAAAGGAAAAATCATATTTGGTATATAGACACACATGGAATATCCTTCTGATTGAATTTCAAGAGCATATCCAGGATTCAATGTTTTTAAGCACTTCTAATACTGTAGTCTATAAGAGGAGCAGACACTTCAGAAGCAATGTTTAAAAGTCGTCTTTCATAACTGAGTCAACAGATCATTTTTGTAATAAATCAAAGCAAGTGTTCTCAATTAGAAGAGCTAGTGGCTGTTGGTATTGTACAAAAAACAAATCATCCTAGTATCCAAGGGGGTTGGGGTGGGGAGGGTCTGTTTGGTTTTGTTTCTCTTTCCAGAGAGATCTTTAACATTGTTTGATGAAGCTAGTTTCATTTTGAGATTGTTACTGAAGATAAAGGCTTCTGTGTTCTATGGCTGCTTGGATTCTTCGTACATAATGTCCTAGTAATGTCACAGTGCTGCTGTATCTAGATCAAACCACTGTTTTGATTGTTTTTGGGGCTTTTTTTTTTTTTTAATAAATTCCTTAATTTAAATACATGAAAACTATACATTTTGCTTTAATGATGCATGTAACCAAACAGAGCTTCCTCAAGTCCTTGCGATCCTGGAGATGATCACAGTGAGGTGGGATGCTGCCCGTATCTTGCTAGATGCCTTTTAGTATAATAGCCTTTTGTATGCTCTGTCCCATCACATCCTCAGAGACTGAGGGAACTGAAAACCAGGCTGAGGTTGTATCTCACTTTGTGGAGGTTCAGATGCTCGTCTGAAAGCAGGTTGTGTTTCCCTCTGAGATGCCTCCCATCCTCACATCCCCAGCCTTGCTCTGCACTGCAAACTGTCAGCCAACACAACATTTATGACCTGAAAAGTAAGTCTGAGGAAAGGATGATGAAATCACTAGCAGGGACGCAGGCTTCAGAAGACATGAACTGTTTGTTAAGTCTGATTTATGAGGCCCTAGAGAGTACTTGGCCTAAGCTCCAATTAGGCAGAGGGAAAGTGTTTAGAGAAGGAAACAACAACAGCGACCGAGCGTGCTCGAGTATTCCATACAGAAAGAGCTAAAACAAAGAGTAGCTGCAAAACCACCAGGGGGGACGTGGTGCAGTGCTTCTTCTTTAAGAGGAGAAGGAATACTTTTTCAAAGAGGCATAAAGCGTATTTTTATGAGCTTGCTAATGGCAAACAGTGTTTGCATCGAGTTTCATGAAAGAACACTGTGAAAACAGATCATCAGCATGAAAGCAGCAGCTACGTCCAACAGTTGAGCTCAGTAAAACCTAAGGTAACAGGCTACAGAAGTGCAGGTCAATGGGCATCATCACTTTCCAAATAAAGCCAAGCCCTTTTTCATGGTATTTTAACAATCTGAGAGGACGTGAGATGAGATTTTACTCCTTCTCTAACAGCTCTTGGTGGTTTTGTACCTCGATGTCCTTTCTGTGCTGCGACATCTAGATACGGTCCCTCTTGGGAGATGTAATCTTCCTTCGACTTTTCCACTATCTCTGGCACGAGATGTGCAGCTTCTCCCAGGAGAATCATTGCACTGTTTTGAAGGAACTCCAATTAATAACAACGCACTTCAACTTTTTTAATCCCTGAGGGTGCTTTGCAGATGAAAAACGCCATAAATGGGCCTGGCTTTGCAATTGCAGGTCTATGGGATGCTTCTGGGGGAGGAGACAATGCAAGTTCCTGCCAAGTAAGAGCCTAATCTGTTGTGTTTCGTGGTTCTGTTTCGTGTTTGGTGTACAGGAAAAGGAAAAGGTAAAATAGGGACTATAAAAATCATTGCTCCAACTTGTCTGGGGTGGAGAAGAGTAACTCTGCCGTAGAGGCTGAGTAGCTTGCATTGCCCATTTGACCATTTAGCCCATTGGGTAAATTTTACCTGATTTTCTGGGTTTTTTTTACTTACAACTTCTCAATATTAAATTTTTTCTTAATCCGAGGGAAGTTTGCTCCTCTGCTGTAATCAAACCTCACTAGCACCATAAGAGAGCAAGGCTCCATGTACCTCTGTTAGCTTATACGGCAGGGGTCTGCAGAGAGGCTTAGGATGCTCCACACCTGCTAATGCGGGGTCATTGCAGTGTGATAATGATTAAAACGTCAAGAGCAAAAAGACAGGCATTTGCCTTTTGTACAGAGCCTGTAGGTGGGAAGGCACTTGCAAAGCTAAACTTCAAAAGCACACATTGGAGGGCACAAAACCATATGGGCAAGAAAAGAAAGAATGAAGATTGCCTGTGTTCCATTAATATTGTTCCCTTGCACTGTTATTATTATGCCCTCACATAATACTGTTATGCATTCACTCCTAGAGGAGAAAGTAACCTCTGGCAGATTTACAATGAAATCCAGATGGATCCCCTTCTGTGGCATCTGCTAATACATGGTGTGTTTCAGACTTCCAGTTAACTCTAAAAACATATTTCCCTTCGGGGAAAATCTCACCCAATTGGCTGCTCCCTCCATTGGCAGTTGTGAGTTCTGGAAAAGTCACTTAGCCTCGGCACACAATGCTTTCTCCCATAGACAAAGGACTCAGCTCTCAGTATCCCATCTCGGTTCCATTAGATCCTATTGATCCCAGGATTGGGGAAGGGATGTGGAATGAATCTTGCCTGTTTTCCTCCCCTTTTTGGGAGGAAACACTTGTTTGTTTCCTCAGGGGACTGGTAGGAGGGATGTGAGAGGTTCCTCAATCCGCCCTCTCCTCTCTGCATATATTCACTCACGCACTCTGAAAGCGAGAACTACGAGGCCCAGGAGCACTAGAGGAAACATTTCTGCAAACGGGTAAGTATTGGGAAGAGGTAAAGCACGAGCTGCAGAGGGGACAAGACACACCTTGGGCAAGTTTCACCCGGGCTCAGGAAATGGGAAGAACGAGGAGCTAAAAGTGATGGAGAGAAGTCAGCACTGGAAGGGATGAGGTCTAGCCAGGAGGATGGCTTACTTGTGAACTCCCATTAAAACACGTCTGAAAGCACAGAGAGAACATCAATTCAAGCCAACACTAATGAAGAATTTATTGCTGATGATACCACAGGCAGTAGTAGCTCTTTCTGGAAGCTTAAAATTGCCCTGCTTTGGGTCTAAGAGTCAGTGTACTGTGGAATTAAACATTGACATTTCACATAATAAAAAGATTCAGCTGCAGCTGACACTGTATACTTAGATAACCATGATAAACACTGATTGAGTTAGATTACATGAGGCATTTGCTATGTTGTTCTCATATTTACACTAGGAAAGAGGGAAGGAGCCTTCTTCCCTCTGTAATTCCATCATTCTCACTTAAATATGGCATGTTTAACTCTTGCCCTCATAGTGGTGTTTAAGTCAAAGGTTTCTGAACCTGCAAATGAAACCAGAATGGCTATTCATATTGAAAAATAAAACTTAATGTCTGTGTTTGCTTCTTCATGCATCAGATACTTCAAATGATCCACCTGGTGACTACACGTGGCAATGATTGAAAATCAATCACTTCTTATCAATGATTTACATCTGTGCAAGTCATCACCAGAAATGAGCTGGTCCAAAGTGACATGATAAAACCAAGAAGCTTAAACCAAGCATGGTAACGGGGCAGAGCACAAGAGTCTTTCTTCAGATGAACTGATACAAAGTGCAAAGTAAGAGCTCAAGCTGCTCCTCTGATGTTGATCACCTTTTTCTTAAGGCAACTTAAGAATTCTTCAACATTTAAGTGCTCAAGGCCAGGTTGGATGGGTCTTGGAGCAAGCTGCTCTAGTGGAAGGTGTCCCTGCCCATGGCAGGGGTTGGAACTGGATGAGCTTTAAGGTCCTTCCAACCCAAATCAGTCTGGGATTCTATGGATTCAACTAATATGTGCATGTATTTAGAACACTGCTCTCTATATAGTAAGTCCCAACTATGTCTCAATTATACTGATTCTTTGCAGAAAATAACTGGAAACAAATCCATGTAATGCCAACCAGGAACACAAGGTGAGAGAACATTTTCACCCTCAAACAAGCACATTTCTGTGCCAGAGTGGGCTGACACACGTGAACTACTTCAGTCAGAGTGGTGCTGAGCAGGAACAGTTCTTCCTGGCTTTCAGCACTGCACAATAAGCTGTAACCAGCTCCAGTATCACTGCTTTTGCACAAATGCTTCTAGGGGAGCAGTGATGTGCATTGTCAGAGTGTCCAGGAAGTCACCCTTGTAGAGGTCCGGGCATCCTGGCTTTCCTCTTGGTCTTTACCCTCAATCACAGTTTGGTTGCCTTGATCTGCTCCTCCCTCTGCTTCCCATGCCCCAGCATTACCACAGCACTGCAACTGCTTCTGCGTCGGCATCCTCTGTGCATGAGGAAGGGGCTCTGGTTCTCACCAGCAAATGCTTTTGCCTTCCTGCTCGACCTCTTGCTTTCGTAGTTCCTGAGCTCCATCAGCCTCTCACTGAAGTACTCTTGCAGTGGTTTGTCGTGGAAGCCACTGCTGGTTGGCAGGTGGCCTTTCAAGCCGGCTCTTGAAGAGCTCCCCACACAATGGACTAAGAGAGCTCTGTTTGGAATATTATGGAGCTGGGATGAGGAGCTCTTTCCTCTTTTCAAGTCCTGGAAAAGCCGGTTGAAGGCTGGAGTTTCGGAGTAATGTCTTGGTAACTGTTTAAAATAGGTGGGGAGGGAGAAGCAGGGTTAGAGGCAGAACAGAGAAGGGAATCTAAATTACAGTGTGCTGTCATAAGTAGCAAAAGGATCTTACATTCATGATCCCATACAGCAAAAGGCTGTTAGGGAAGGTTTTGGGGTTTTAATCCAAATTCCATGAGGATCCAGCAGCTTGGTACCAATCCCTTTCCAGAACAGAAGTCTCCTGGGCTGAGCTTAAACAATGCTGAGCGTTTTCACCTCCCACTGGCTCTGATGGGCTGTAACAGTTTTGTGTGGCCTCTCTGTAAACCTGCTTTTCTGAAAGAATCTCTCACCTGCCTGTATGAACAGAGCTTCAGGTTTATCCTTTTCAAATCTCATTACCCTGGAGCTCTATTATGATAAGAACCTCAATGTTCACATAAAATATATTTCTACATCTTCAAACTATGACATTTATCATTATTATCCCCAGAGAATCACAGAACCCCAGACTGGTTTGGCTTGGAAGGGACCTTAAAGCTCATCCAGTTCCAACCCCTGCCACAGGCAGGGACACCTTCTACTAGAGCAGCTTGCTCCAAGCCCCTGTGTCCAACCTGCCCTTGAACACTGCCAGGGATGGGGCAGCCACAGCTTCTCTGGGCACCCTGTGCCAGCGCCTCAGCACCCTCACAGGGAAGAGCTTCTTCCTTATAACCCACAGCATAGCATAGTGTGCATAGAGTTTTCTCCTCCTTTCCCACTGTATGGTGCCTATCTCCTTTCTAGCTCACCAAATTAATGCTTGAGCTGCTTTAACAGTCAAAAAAAGACCTGATCCAGCCCCCGCTGACACCAAGGTGGGGGTCTTTGGGTTGATTTCAGGGGAACATCCATGCTTTGGGTCCTTTTATTGACTGCAGAGAAAACACGGCTAGAGATGCACTGTGTAAAAGGCTGCCTTTCTATGTTCACAGTTAAATCTCCCCTGGGCTTTCAAAGTTCCTGCTTGACCATTTCCTCCTTCTCCCAGGTATTGCACTGGTTTCTGTACACCAACTTACACTGCACCATGGCTTGTTCTCTGAGAAACCTTGGCAGTTCAGCCTGAAGAACTGTTTTATATTACTTGCTGTTTCGAATCAATAAAGACTCCACTGTATGTAGATGACAGCCACAGCGGGACCACAGAAGACTTTGCAATCATTTATTATGCCTGTCAATGCCTTTGGTATAATAAAGAGCCATCATTCATGCAGTTTTTGACAATTACTAATGAAGCCTAGATACTTGCAAAGGGTCCAGCCACAAATCTGGTTTGAGAGCCCAGCAATGTCTCAGTAGGGCACTCCATCATCAGCATTTGGCATGGTGCCTCCTAGTAATGAATGAAAAACATTGAGCCCAAAGGAGAAACAGGGGGGTTGGACATGCCATGTAAACTGAAAAGTAATCAAGTTTTGATCTCCCACTATTCCATCACACTTCATTCTGGAAGGGACCCAGCAAATCTAATATCCCTGCCTAGAGTGGTTGGAATAAGGTGGGCAATTGAAGAACACTAAAACTTGGCTGCTAGGTAGTCTCTCTTTCCTACCTCAAATGTTTTTAACTGGCTTAAAAATCAACAGTCTTGTATATATAACTTAAAATATATGTTAAAATATATATTCACACATATAAAAATAACTGAAAAATTAGCAATCATCTTAATGTAGCAGAATAAAAGTCCATCACGTCAAGATTTTATATCCCAAAACACAGCCCAAAACTTCTTATCATATCAAACATCAACTTACCAGGAGTTGGGGAATTATCACTCTAGTAGAAGAATAGGTAGTAGCTATCATATACTGCAAAGGGAGATTTTGCATACAAACCTTAATGTCCTGGAAGCCTGGATATTCGGGGATGATGGGCAAAATGCACATGCTAATACTGTTTGATCTCCTTTGTTTCACCATCCTGCAAGAGCAGCTCCTGGAGAGATGGGACTGTCGCAGCTCAGGTGGGTTTTCAATGAATCGGAGTGGTTTATAGCCTTTTACACAGCAAGTTCGCAGGCACATCTTGGAGGCAGGTCCCTCCATTCCAGCACGATCCAGAAGAGTTGGGAAGCGATGTCTATTCCAGGAGAATTCTCTCTTCTCATTCTCCTCTAGTGCATAATCTCATACCAGAGAGCCCCTTGGCAACTGTGGTACCGACTGGCAGCAGACACAGCAGTCTAACAGCGGTACAGCTCTTGCTTCTTAGACATCACAGGCAAGCGGTGCCTTCCCCAAGGTCTGGAGCCCACACAGCACTAATGCTGCTTTTATCCTCTGAAAGCTCTTTAGAGAGTCGGTAAACCCAAACCATGAACACAAAGGGCTCAGGTGAGGGGGGAATTTGCAGGTTTCTTGTGGTCACCTCAGCTTAATGTGATTGCTGATGCAGTGGCAATTAGAGGAGACCAACACTCGGCTCACGTCGGAGCAGCAGATCTGATTAGAGATCCCTGACAGCAGAGCATTAAGGGCTGCTGCTCAGCGGGGCAAAGGGAAACACCGTTAACCAATAGGTCAAGAAACACAGTGCAATAAGCTGTAATAAAACAGCCTTCCAAGAAATCCTATAGCAAAAGGCTTCTTCAGTGCGGTTGGAGATGGGCTACAGCCCTGGAGAGCTGAGAGATCCAAACTGCCTTCAGACAGCCTGGCACCAGGGCAGATTTGGCAAGAGGCCACGGTGAGAGCGAGAGCCCTGTTAGCCAAAGCTGTGAAAACGCTCACAGTAAGAAGCAATCGCTGCCCTGAGCAGCTTCAACCTACACATCATGGATGAAGGGCAGCCAGGGGAACAGCTCCATGGTTTTGATTTGGCGATACATTAGTGGTATCATCTGCTAGATGCAGAGAGATGTATGAAGTTGCAATAGCTGGTTCATCACAAACTTTGGCAGCACGGAGCTCCTTATAGTCCAAAGTGACAGCGGGCATCTCCTACCATTTGGAGGGAGGCACCTCCATCCACGGCCCCACTGTGGCCTGTTTGCAATGCAGAGCATTGGCACTGAGGGAAGAACTGCCTCTTTTCCATCATATGGATTACTCCATGGAGTAATTGCTATTCTCACTGGTGCCTGTGGAAGGTAGACAGAGGGGGTTTACAACCCCCTCAAGCTCCAGGGCTTATTCAAGGTATCCATAAGTATTTTCATGTTCCAAGTATGTGCTTGCAAATACTTCTGGCTGCTCTGATGAGCTAGAAATCCATATCCATCCAGAGTATCCATAAATATCTCCATGCACGCATTCAGAGCAATGACCACGAGCTTTAAAGAGCTTTGGATCTTATCCATGAGACCATCATCTGGATTCAGGTTAGTGTTTTGGACTGTGTGGCAGATGACAGCTTGGCAGGCTGAGGGCAGAAGCCTCAACAGCAACACTCACCTGGTCACGGGGTAAAAGCACGTCAGGCATAAGTAAGGATCTCACGTAAACAGTTAAATCCAGCCCTTCACTATCCAAAGGCAAAGGTGCAACACCACGTGTTCTACCAGCTCTGCCTCTGACACTGCTTTATTTGGGGGCAAATCAGTTCTCAGGCACACAGCAACACTCTCAGTGTGAGTGACCATTTCAGCTACACACACCCTGGTGTTATCACAGACCAGGGTCTGTGGCCACAGCTCTGAGCCACACACAGATTCGGATATGAGGCTGATCTGATGGTAACAGGTTACATGCAGGGATGTCACGATGCTGACAAATAGAACTGTGAGTCATCCCTCTCATGCAGCCCTGATTATTTGCATTGCTGTTGTATACATAGTGATACCTTAACATAAGCACAGTGTGGCCTTGCTGGGAGTACCTGAGAAAAATTAGCAAAGCGTTAACATGGTTTCTTGGCATCAAATTTTCCCCTGAAAGACTTTCCTGGCCCCATTTAGGAGAAATAGATGGATGGATGGATGGATGGATGGATGGATGGATGGATGGATGGATGGATAGACAGATAGAGATAGATAGATAGATAGATAGATAGATAGATAGATAGATAGATAGATAGATAGATGATAGATAGATAGATGATTGATAGGTAGGTAGATAGATGACAGATAGATAGATAGGTAAGTAGGTAGATAGATGACAGATAGGTAGGTAGATAGATGATAGATAGATAGATAGATAGATAGATAGATAGATAGATAGATAGATAGATAGATGATAGATAGATAGATAGATAGATAGATAGATAGATGATTGATAGATAGATGATTGATAGATGATTGATAGATAAATGATAGATAGATAGATAGATAGATAGATAGATGATTGATAGATAAACGATAGATGATAGATAGATAGATAGATAGATAGATAGATAGATAGATAGATAGATGATAGATGATAGATAGATAGATAGATAGATAGATAGATAGATAGATAGATAGATAGATAGATAGATTAGATAGATGATAGATAGATAGATAGATAGATAGATAGATAGATACTGTCTGAGCCACAGCTGTCCTGGGGATCTGGATGAGGCAAATCTAGACCAATAAGTCACTGTGGAGAGGCACGAGGTGGGTCTTGCCAGTGAATCTTCACTGCATCCAGGTCTAAATTGCTTCAGCCATGCAGAGACAAGGTGGCAGAATACCCCTTATCCTGCAAAGAAATCACAGCAACAGCAGGAGCCAAACTAATTCCACCGGCGACAGAGATTTACTAATGCAGGGCTGAAGGTATTCATGGTACTGCCCACAGCTGTCATCTAATTCAGAGAAATAAGAACGGTGCAAAACAGCTGCCATTGACACAGTTTCTTTAGGAGATGTGACACACTGTAAGTGGAGAGGCTTTGCAGGGGACCTGCAGATGGACCGTGATTGCCGACAGGGTAAAGAGCTCCCTCTTTCCATTTAAACTTGTAGCCTGGAAACCTCTCATTACCAACAGCCGTTCCCTTTCTCCCCTGAAAGCCCTTGCCTGGTTGAAGTGAGACACCAGCAGCTTTCAATCTGCAATTGCTCATTGTGCTTAATGAATGTGTGAGCGCTGCATTCAATGTGTGGCTTGCATGGGGCCTTAAGTAAAAATCCCTGCTCCTGTTTTAATGGGAGGTTCTGAGTCTACTCCCGCAGTCTAAAATCAGAGCTCATGGAGCTCCCATTTTCCTTCTTGTGCCATAGCATTACTGTGTACACTGGGGGCAAGGTAATTCTCCCTCCAGCAAAGCTCTCAATCCTGTTTAACATTAAACTTTGCATTATCCTTTAATACCCCAGTGAAAAGAAACATGACTTTCAGCAGCATGTAGGCTTCTTTAGTTACCTACTTTCTATCCTAACCATTAGTGTCACACTTTGAATGTAAATTGCTAAATGCCTTGCAGCAAAAGGGAAGGCTATGCTGGTTGAATGATCATTTTTATCAACGTGATGGGCATTTTCCCTAGTTAAAGATAGCTAATTTGTGTTAGAAAGGTATGGATTCATTCCCATACTTCTATATATGTACTTCATGAAGCTGTAACACTTAGAAGGCTACCTAGTTTTGTGCCACAAACCCCTACCCCAGGGTAACTTCTGTCACTGTAATCTGCTGAGCTCTTGGTGAAGTCAAAGTGTGTTACATCCTTCATCCATATAGCAAGTACTTTGGTCAGAGCAGGCACTCAGGCTGCTCAGATGAGGTTTTCCTTCTCTTAATGATGAGAGTCCTAAATCTGCTGCTCAATCTGGGTTCCTCTGGGTCTTAACTCCATCACCCCTTCTCCCTTGCTGTTAGAGGGATGTCACTGCTGCAGTACACTGCCCTGTACTGTAAACATGCCAGGCCTGCCTGAGGACCAGCAACAGTCCTGCGGTGACAGCCCACAGCAGCAGACCGCTCTGAGCTGCCACGTAAAACCATCAACCTTACACCAAGAGCGCTCCAGTGTTACTCCATTTAATACTCCAGTATTAAAGTAAAGCCTTTAAATTATAAACCATGGGAAGTGCAGGTTGGTAACACATCAGAACAGAGACCGGGAGGGTAGTCCCAAACCCTCAGTAAACCAGACCCGAGCGGGATTGCAGGGGAGCCAAGCAGTGCTGGAGCTTCGGAGCCTGAAGCAATGGCAGAGGTGGGAAGTGCAAGAGGTGAGCTCACCAAACCCATTACCTACTGACCAAGGAGATGAACAGGCTTTCCTAGTCACTGTGGGAGCAAAGTTGTCATGAAAAGAGAAGCAATGAGTTGTTCCTTGCCCAGTAATGAGTGGTTCAGGGTGGGAGCAGAAATAGAATTGCAAAAGGTTGAGTCAAAATCATTGGCTTCTGAGGTTACTTGGTTCCTTGTGTAGAAATGACTTTGGTCTAGCCCTAAGAAGAAGCTGGGCTGTATCACTGCCTCTGCATCCAGACTTCCCCAAATCTGGATGCGGTGGCTTTGTGTCTATGGCAAGTATCCCCCCTCCACTTGCAAACAGAAGCAGTGTGTGGGGGGTGAACCTATACACCCTTTTACTTGGTAATCAAACCCTTGATCTCACTCACAGTCTTGTGACCTGGCCAAACTCCATGCACCTCTTTTCCTTCCTTAGGTGTCTCGTACTCCTAAAGCAGCAGCAGACGGCACCCATTTGCAGATGTCAGCTGCTTGCCTTGCAATGTGTTTACTATCGGATTTTCACCGAGACTCCTGGCCCAGATAGTAAGATTCTTGTCATAATCACCAGCTTTAAGCCTGCAGCAAGCCTTCACCGACTGGGTTGAGCCATAATTACACCTGTATCTCTCGGTGCTTCTGATTCTCTTTTAAATTAACTGTAGATTGGAGCACAGGAAAGGGATTAGGGACGTTTAGAGTTCAGGAGGAAGAGAGTTAGAAGTGGATGTTAAATAAGAGATGGACAAATCATAGGATCATAGAATAGTTAGGGTTGGGAAAATCACAGAATCCCAGACTGGTTTGGGTTGGAAGGGACCTCAAAGCTCATCCAGTTCCAACCCCTGCCACGGGCAGGGACACCTTCCCCTAGAGCAGCTTGCTCCAAGCCTCATCCAACCTGGCCTTAAAAGGAACAATTAAAGCTTATGTCCATATGATTAAAATGTCTTTTCCCAGATGCTGTTAAAACCCAGCAGTGTTAGGGATGTCTTTACTACAAACTTCTGTCATATCTGTAGGACATTGTTTAAAAGTG